GAAATTGGTATCAGATTTGTCTAGGATCAACTGCTTGCCGCAATCTAGAAAAGCTAACGACAATCTGTGGAGGAAGATTCGCTTACGTCCACGGATGACTATCGCATCATTCTAAGGAGTATCGACTCGAGAACATTCAACAGTAACTGCCACGACCGACTTTCTATTAACCTCGGCATTGATCAAGTGATTTTCTTCGTATTTTTGTTGAGCAAACGCGAGGTGTTACTATTCTTTATTCACGATTAAGCTGACGTTTCGGCGGATTTCGCCTTCTTCAGAGCCTGGGAAGGTCAAGTTGATAGCAATCCACTCGGCCAGACGCCTCCATAACCAAACAAAGAAACTCCAAACCAAGATTTCAATCACTTTGAACACAGCTTTGCACACTCACCGCTTTCTATGAGGCTTCCACCAAGTATGTCACGTAGAGACCAACCGCACAGAAATCACGTGGAAGTACAATGTGCCCCTCACATCAGAAAAGCCAAGAACTCTTAAGCAGCGATCGAATCCACCTGCTAATCCGAAGGCATTCGTGTAATTGGGGTGAAACGAATCGAGAAAGTGCTGGAATCCGCACAATTAATGATGTAGGATCGGAAGGAACAAAAAATTTCATTAATTTGTCAAGGAAAGGTGGTGTACCCCAGTGAGATGACATTATTGTGTAATCTCTTTCAACAAACAGCTTATCGAACTTTCCAAGTTCCTTCACTCGCGTTCCTATTAAACTGTGTGTGGAAATTTCACCTAAGAGGTTTAAAGCTAACAGCCATTAACAAACATGATGCATTGACATAAATTCTGGGACAATACTATCCATATGTATTGGGTTCAATGCGCATCCTGCGTGGACGTCGCGTGTAAGACTTAGGCTCACAAAGGGTTATAGTAAAATCGATGAATTCAATAAAGGTGTATAATTTTGTAGACAAAAGCTTTGTAGTAAGATCTAAGATCACAAGCTCGGCTTTATCTAAAACTCCTCGTGAACAACTTTTCTCTCAATTAAGGCTGTGTCTGTGCTTCTTCCTTCTTTGTACTTCTTCAATTTAGCGTGGTGATCTTGCTCACCTCGCAATAAAATAACACTTTAACAATGATACTTGAATAAAAATGATTTGTTAAGGTCGTTTTAGATCTAATTTAAATTGCTTTACCGCTAAAAGCCATGCATGTGGAATATATTTTTAACAGGTTAATCAAGGTTTGTAAATCTATGTAATGCTACTGGACACCCACAATGGTTACGAAGTGTCTCCTGGTGTCGACCAGTAGAAGCTTCATCCATCTAGCAGAGTCTCAAGATGAATAGGTGCTCAACATTTTCATCCAGAAGCTCAACCAAGAGCGATTTGATTTCAGAATTCACTGATACTCTAGCAAGAAGATAGTCGCTAGATTATAAGTTGTGACTACCCATGGAAAACCCTTGCAAAGAAAGGATTTCGTAAAAAGAGGGTCTTTTTAGGTTAGTGAATAAGCACTTAGACTAACTACTTCAGTAAAAGTATCAGGCATTCTATGCTAGTGCCCGAATTCGAAAGAAAAACGACGAAGTAAAACCACCCTGGCAAAATTATTCAGCTCCACTTAAGGCATATATGATGCGAAAACAGGATTGAGCTGCCATGAGAGTGAAAGTCGACAGCCATAGGCAACATCTTGTCTTTTCTAACGACATCGTTCTTATAAGATCAAGTCTTAGTCATGCGGAACGGCCGATTTTCACGGTAATAAAGGATAAGACTCTCGGCGCTGGTCTATCCCTGAGGGATGTACCATGTATTCGACTTCATTAAGCATCGTTGAAGGCGACTGGATGAATATCTGGTCTTCATAAGGATTCGCAGTGGCATACCAATGTATTGAGCGAGCACTACTATCCTACTAGACAAGTCTGGTACCAATTTGCCGACCCCGGAGGAACAGAGACTTCGTGGGTCTTAGGCGCAGGGATAGATCTCATGTGTATTGCATGACGACTTGGACCACTATGCTACACGCGCCACACGCGATTTTCACAGTGCATATGGGAACCGTCTTTCGCGGTTAAAGCCGAAGGGATGGTGCTCTTAAGAAATGGATTCTCTTATGAAGCATATTGATGGGAAACATGTCTGGTATAGACGACACAGCTGCGAATTCCAAATGATGAATAGTTTGACTCTTTCGTTGAGTAAGAGAATGGCCTAGGGAGCTTAGAGGTGAGTCGACGACGTCATGAAGTAGATAAAACATGTCCGGCTCGACCTGGACCTTTCATCGGCGTCATGGCTATGGCTCAAAGTGGTAACAATGACGTTATCGAACCCACGTACAGAAATGATACTGACAAAATCAGCGAAATCAGAAGTATCGGAGTCGTATTGCATCTGAAGAATAGCAATTGAAAAAGACCGCCATGGACATGATTGTAAAGGATGTCAAGCGTCCAACAACAAGATGGTCACCTTGACTCCCATACTGCTTCATAACTGTTCTTAAGGATAAGGATTAGAAAAAAGTGAGGTTGCTTTTGCGCTCCTCAGTGGGATGAGGACCTCCTTTGTCAACGTTCTATTAAATAAAAAATAATGGAAGAGGCCTTAGTGACTCCGATCACAATTGATATTGACGGTTCAAGTCGGAATACTAGGCACGTCTAATTGGACCTGAATCTGCTGTATTTTTTCGACTTTCCTGGAAAGACGAGGGAGAGAATGCATGAATCGTCAACGAGGCGATATCACTCTGTGATTTTCAAATATGATTACACTCTCTGAACATAAAGCCAGCGTTATTTAAACCGGTTAGCACAGTCATATCAAATGAAAGCCGTTTCAGTTCAACCCAGTTTTTCTGGTTATTTTTTACACCTGTATAAGCTGAATAAACTCTAGTAAATGGAAGTCGATAGTTGATTTCTAGATCTACTTTGAGTCTATAACTCTGCTTATCAACGTTCTTATCACTTCTAAACTAGCAATGCAGTACTTTCCAATAACGTGATGGTTACTTAGCATGACAAAATTATCAGAACGGGTACGTCTTCCCAAGAATAACCGCTTCGTTCCAGTTAGAGGTGTGCCATACCGTGGAAATGGTAGTTTTTTTCCTTATAAAAGTTTTTATTCTTTTCGTATCTTAGGCGGCTACGCTAGAAATTCAGCGTAATTCTTCTCGTCAATGATTTTTATCAAGAATATACAGTGGAAATCGCCCACCGTTCCAGCGAACTACCACTAAACCGGACATGAGAAGCCTAAGACACTAGTACCGAAGACAAAAAATTTACAACAGATAAATCATTTCAGTGACTTACAAACACTTGGAAATGCAGCAACACTTATTATACTAATGTAAGCCAATATAGGCTATTCTAAAACAACCCTATCAGATCTTTTTGTACTACACTACCACGGGTTTGCCGCTTCACAACTTGATATTAGATCATTTCAAAGGTGATCACTAGCTTATTACAACTGATAGATCTGTTGATTGGAAACCGATTCCTCTTGTTCAGTGTGGACCACCACATGTGGAGTAATCTCTTAATAAACCTTTCAGTGTCTTTAGAACCTCAGTGCACTGCAAGGCCGTCGTACGCCGGGTATATGGCAATGTATAAGTAACAGTATAGAAGAAAATGAGTTAAATAACAACATAACCAAAAATATGATAGCTATAGGAGCAGTAGTTTATTACTATTTATATAACTCAACTCTTAACACACATTGTGCGAATCTCAGTACTTCTCTCACTAGGTTTGCAGTCGCTCACACTACATTCACTACAGCCTCTAGGCTTCCGTGTGAGTTCGGTTGCCACTTGAGGAGTTCGTCTTCTTTATGAATGAATGTCGTTGAGCGCTGCAAAAATTATTCCCTGAGGAATCTCGAGACAGCTGTGAGAAGTGGTCTCCAGGTCTCCTCACATACAGCAACCAGCTTTCATGGATCAGAGGAAGCTTTTACTAAACCTGAAAGGATAAGAGGCTATGTTGTTCGGATGTTGTCGTATCAGTGACGTACATTGTACGTCATCTCCAACCGATTCCCTTCTGAAGCTCCAACACTAACTGAAACTTGAGTATGTTGTAAAAAAAATTGAATAGTGGTTTTTCAGCAGATTAGGCAAAAAGACTTGTTCTAGATATAGAAGAAGTCGACAAAAGTAGACTGAAAAATAGGACTATTAAAAGTTAATACTTTAGAACGATGAACATTCTGAAGGGGACGGAAAACTGCCTGTCACCTAAAAAGTTGAACTCGTATCATAAGTTCTTAAACCGTGGGAGTACGAAGGAAGGTTGTAAAGGACTTGATCAGGCAACTAAAGACTATTGCTGGTGCACAAAAACTTAAGAGTGATTCAGGTATTTTGTAAAATCTACAGATATTGGCGGTAGGTAAGTTCTTTACCATAAGTAATATACCCGCTTTTTATTGTGGTCGAAGCTGGTTTGCTCGAAACAAACAGGTTTTCTTGTTGTTAACACATAAAGCTTTATTTAATGAGGTATTTAATGAGCTCTGGGAAGATAGTCGCGACATTTTTAGTCGAAAGTTGAAAGGGTTTTAGCGACTACCAATCCCTAGCTTGAATAGCATTGATATCAGCTATAATATCACTAATCACTGAGTTACCTGAGAGGACATCACTCATTTCGCCATTAGTCCTTGTCAGATGCCAGCACTGGTCTAGTGGGCCCTGATCTGTCGATGTACGTGAAGATAATCACGATGCCTTTATATTTTTTTCCACTACTGGAGAGACGGTATCCAGGATCATCGGGCTTAGCTTAGGGTCTGAAATTCTGGAATGGACAGGTTCTTGAATCATGCGAGTGAATACTATCTGATAGAAGCAACCCCTCCCAGGCAGTTCGTTGTAGTCATAGGATGTATCGGTCAACTAATACTATTCGCGTATAAGTAAACACGAGATTATAGGTCTATGGAAAAATATGATAAAGTCTTCGTGGGAGGTAAGTTAATCAGGAACAGCAGGAAAAGCTAGCTCACCGTTTGGAACTCCAGGTCGAAATAGTAGAAGAGCATTTTCACGGGCACCGTAAAGTAGGTCTTACAGCTTAATAGATCGAGATCGGTGTCATGTGTAATTTTCTCGGCCTGCATTTCTTCCCTGAAAAATAGTGATTTTAGAAAAGAATCTATGTTAATAACACAACTACAGTATTTAAACCACCCATCTAGCCGGTGTACTCTTTGCAGGTCAAGATCTGGCTTAAAAATCAGTTGTTTATTTCTGATTGTAAAACTGTTGCAAGAGCCCTGTATGGCATCGCGTGGGGTTTAGCACGACATATAGGAACAGGGAGACGAGAATTTTTATTTTAGTAGCATTTTGTTTTTAAAAAGAAACATAGGGTACCAAGTTTGTCAACAGTTCTAATGAACGATTTGAGAATAGGGATGACTTGAAAAAATTGGTTTTTCTCGACCACTCTCTGACGAGAAGTGCGAGCGGTGGAACGAAGAAAGCAGGGAATAACTAAAGAAAGAATATGTATTTTTTCCTTGGTGAGCTTACACGAGGTTGATAATGATATTTATTTTCAGCTAGCGTTTCGACGTCTTCGTCTTCCTCAGAGCCGACGATACGAGTCGATGGTCCGTGCATGTTATTGATTAGTGATACCGAGGTTCAAGGAAAGTCGGTTTCGAAATATAAAGGAAGAATCTCACTAATGAATACCTTGTTTCCTTTCCTTTATCACATGATGACTGAAAACGAAACCTTCGAGAAGTCTCGCCTATTCTCCTTTGGTTTTTTCTCCGAGTCAGCACTATACATCTCATTTGTCCAGGGTGCCTACTAATTTCAAGGTCATGGTTCTTATACGAGTACTAAGTAGTTGAGTAACATTCCAGTGGTATTCAATATTGACGTTGGCCAAAAAAAGTCTTCTGTGGCACCGGTCACACCGCTGGCTGTAACCAGCTTAGTGTTCTCAAGTATCTATTTTAACCGGATACCGGAGCAAGGACTGCGATGTGGCAGCGCTCCAAAAAGAGATTCACCAAAATGAGCGGATTATATTTATGCTGTTTCAAAACGTGTCAAGTGCGAAAGTATAAGGCATTTTCGTGTCTTCTATTCACCGACTTGAAGAAAGCACTTGATTTTACTAATACAGAAATGATCACAAATATTATAGGCAACCAAAATAGTCCCGTCACTTGAAAAAGATTTGATTTCTTTATGAACATGGAATTTTGTACTATAATCACAATTTAGCTTTGTGATGTAAAAAAGCGCAAAGTGCAAAACGTTGGTCAATCTCTTCAGAGATGCGCCATGAATTAGACTATAGTTGTGGCATCGTAGTGGGTACTGAACACATGTTTACCCTACGCGATGACTTTTATGGGCTGACTACTAGGTCCAATCATTGTTTCCTATTCTCCCAGACAAGTTGTGGTACCAGTCTGCCCACTCCAAATGCGTGGAAGGCTTGCCTTACCTGGGTGTAGGATCGAACCAGGGACGATGTGTATATTGCAGGCTGCCTCTAAACACTGCTCTATGTACGTCTTATTTGCATGATAAAAGGATAAAAGGATAAAGCTCTCAGCGTTGATCAATCCCTGAGGGATGCGCCTGCACTCGACTTCATTAAGTATCGTCGGAGGTGATTGATATATTTGCATATTTGGTTTTTACAATGACTCACGGTGGCCTACCGATGTATCACGCCAGTGGTGCTATACTCCCAGACAAGTCTGTTACCAACTTGCCGACCTCGGAGGGATGGAAGGCATGGTGAGTTATGGGCGCGGGGATCAACTCCACTTGACTGTCGCAGTGGCGCCTCCAATCAGTGCGCCACACGCGCCTTTATAATAACGTCGACATATTATGCCACTTGCATGATATGTCGACATTATTATAACCATAGGGTCACTTGTCAGACTTTTTCACGAGGTCGCAAAAAAAATATATGGTACTCTTCATGCCACTTATTCGGGCATGACCCTTATCCGTACAATTCTGTGGCACATGATAGGAATGAGCTGTGAAATGGAAGCCTTACTGATGCTATCTTGAATGATTACCAGGTGATCAACAAAAAAGACGGTTTGACACAAATAAAGACGATAGTGAACAGTAGCTTCTTAGGTTCTGTTCTGTTCCTATTACTGTAACATGTATTATTTAGAAGACGCATTAAGTAAGACAAAACTGTACTCGTATGTATTACTATAGTATTACGGTATAATAAGAGAATTAAGTGCAGCTAAAACAAATAGTTAACCGAACAGCTTAATTTATGTTTAGTAAGGTAGACAGCAGCATCTTGAGATTAAAGGGGAGTTTTTTTAATATAGAATATTACCACTTTGCCAAAAATCCTATTTCGGAAAAAATTTCACGACCACTTTAGGAATGATTTGAAGGCGTAGAATGTCCAATGTCACTGAGGCATTGGGATTGACTAAAGTCTAGTTAATTCGATGTTTTTCTTCAATAAGTAGACACAACGTTGTTATTATAGATTTTATTAGAATACAATAGCTGACGTTTCGGCGGTTTCGCCTTTTTCAGAGCCTGGAAGGGTCAAATTGAGATGCGATCTACTCAGCCAGACACTTTCATAACCCTAGCAGATAAAACCTAGCAAATAAATTTGTATTTGCATAAGAAACAGCTTTATTTAAGCACCTACCGTTTATTTGTTGTAAGTATTGTAGTTGATGGATAGCAGCCGCACAGAGTACATGGGAGATAACTGTGCCCGTGTCAGGTAATTGGATTAGCCTGAGGTATGGCGCCAGGTCACGCGTGATAACAAGACACTCCTCCTTGCAGTTCATTTTTGAATTTTTCGAATTGATCCAAAATGCTTCTAGAGTTTTACGCGCTGATGTTTTCGATTCGTGCGTGAAGGTAGTGACTCCTACTTCAAAATCTTCTCCGTTGTGTTCCTGCATCTTATGCGCGCCTAGTGGAATGTTCGGTTTTAATTTAGATTTACCGACTAGGTGTTCTTTTATGTGGACACAGAGGGTTCTGCCCGTTTCGCCAATGTACTCGTCTCCGCACGCCTTACAGGAGATCAGATAGACTGTACCCGAACTCATGCAATCACCGTCTCTACAGTTAGGGCAAATTATGCAGTTTTTCGTTATACATACACGGTCATATAGGCGGTTGCGAACTAGCTGGCGTCGTAGAGTATCGGATGGTTTTTTTTTCACCCTTACGGAATTTTGTAGACGGGCCCTTATTAAGCAACGTTTTATAGCTGCACTTATTTGTGAGTGCTAAATATCCTAATAAATTCTATAAAAACAGCCTCATGTCTGCTTATTGAAAAAAACATCGAATAATAAAGTAAATTTTAAACTTTTTTCTGGAGTAATGTGATTTTGCAGAACTCGTTTTGGCCTAGTCATTCGGCAAATTTCATGTTCGTCCTCGTCCTCCTTTTCTAGATTGTCGAAAATAATTCAGTCTGAAAACCTATTTTCCCATATTTCGGGAATGTTACATCGCTTCTTGACAGCGTTGTTCACCTCTCATTGAAGAGGGAAAATAAAAACCTGAATTCCTCCAGCACTTAGAACTCAAATTAAATCAGAGAACCAGTTAGACATTTTTGGAAAAAAAGAAAAAAAAGAGAAAACTAAGGCATAGGACACTCCTTTTGGCAAACATTAATTATAGTTCCTAACATAATAAAATATTTATTATGGAAAATATTGACTAGGTAGCGATTCATTTAGAAAATTTCCTTCGATGATTGAATACAGGAGGAGTCTTGGGGAGAAAATATGACGCTCTCACTGTTATTCATTGGGAAATTATATCAATGGGAAACTAAACGCACGAAGTTTGCAAGATTACAGGATATAATACGAGTAATCGAAAAAAAAGACCCTGTTAAGTTTCCGTACTCGGGAAACATTTGCATTTTTCTACAACATAAGAAATTCGTTCTCAGTTTTCAGCTCGGACGAGTATGCACGGCACCGATGAACCCAGTTTTTGGGACTGGGCGGAGCGACGGTTGGAGACAGAGGCGTGACCGAGCTGGCCTTGGTGAACCATTCGGAAGTCCACTGCCTTGACGATGTGGTTGTTGCTCGTCTTCTGGTTCCTGCTCGTCGCTGTCGGCAACGTGACACCGTCTGGCGCATCTCATCGGAAGGTACCATCTCACATCATGCTGCTCATTGTGTTTTATTTACGTCTGTAGTTAATCTTTATTGGAACTGCTGAATCACTGCTCAATTTTTATCACTGCTGAATATTTGCCATAATCTTTGTCATATGGAATGCTATGCCTGATGCTTTGCTTATTTTTCAATGATGCTGAGATATTTGCAAAACTCCGGGTCTAAGGTGTTTGCGGTGGGTGGAGAACGAACGCGCTATTGTCCTTTCCGGGGAGTAACGCGTTCACTACCACACCATGCGGGTCTTTCCTTTCGCCTGTCTCTCAGCTAGCTTTGCTTATTATTTATTCATCCGATAGGGACTTGTACTGAATTCTAACTATTTGATGAGTTTGAGTTTCATCACTGAATGCTGTAACGGACAGGTCGACAGCTTGTCGAGATCTTCCGTACGAATTTAAACGTAAGGTCTAGAAACTATGAGCTCAACTTTTGAAAAATCCTCATTGAAACACTTTTTAGAATTAAACAATGGAACTTTCTTAATGGCTTCATCGTATACGGAGCGCATTCAGAGTTCTGCGCCTTGATCATCTCACTTGAAGTCAATTCATTTATAAGATAGTTTCTATATTCATCTCCATCGAACTTGTATCATAGTTGTTGAGAAGGAAGGGCAAAAACGTTGACATGACACACCAGTAGGAAACTTGAAGTGATGATATAGACCAAATGTGTTAAATCAAGTCTCCGATCCTGGTGGTAGGATCGAATGCATGATATATCAGGACGAACTGTTTGTCTTTTATGCTTTATAACCGGAAGTTCTTCTCGTACTGAAGTCGAACCAAAATTTATTCTTATTTAGGAATCAACGTGCTCATATGAAACGGATTGGTTTTCGTTATGGTGGTCATATGACGCCATTAGTAATGATGTTATTTTCAAAATGATGATACGCTCAAAACTCAACAGTTTCTGGGCCGGAATCTTCTTTGGTGACGAGCAACCGGTAAGAGAGAGGTCTAGATTTGTTGGTGTATGTAGTGAGCGGTTTTCGTAACAACGAACAACTCTTGACCTTCGATCGGACATGGAAATGTAGAAAATTAAAACGTACGTATGCCGATGGAAGAACCAGTAGTTATGCGAGAATTGAGGAAAAAATTACAGCTTAAGTAGATTTAGATATACGATAGGGTCGAGTGAAAGGAAGACCTTCAAAGGCCAACCAGTGAGGGGTGAGATTGCAATCGTTCACTTTCTCTGACGGTTGGAAACTGCAATATTTTATGAATTGTAGATGGTCAACTAGGCTGAAAAATCCGAATCAATCGTTTAGTTGTAGATTTACAAGTAGGAGAGGTTGGAGATAGAGGTCGAGATCGTAGAAGTTTTTTCCAATTAATCTTTACAAATGAGCTAGTTTATTCAGAAGAATTACTCTGGTGAAGTGTTCAGAAAATTTGGCTAATCGCAAATTTCTAGTCTCTAGTTGCGTGATGCATCTCAACCGCTTGATTCTTGTATACCTCTATAACTACTCAATACAAATTTGAGTGTAACTGATGGAAATGGTTTTGTAGAAGATGTTGTTCTCGTAATAGCAACAGGAGCAAATTTTTTGGCATGACGTCATGATTAATTTGTAGCTATATTATTACGTTGTTTAATATCCTGTTCTTCACAAGATTCTCTAAGATAATGTGCTTGTTTATTTGAATACCAGTGTGCTTGCTTATCTGAATACCTTAATGGTCAAAGGCTTCACGACTAATCGTGAACACCTAAGCAGATGCTTCATTCCACTGTAATTTGTCGTTCGGAAAAAATATTCTTCTCCTGGTGCTAGCTCTCGGACGAGAGGATTTCATAGCCTGCGACCATGTTGCCACCAGAACCTCAGTGATTCCTGGCTACTCCTAGTTGCACTCCTATCTGATAACATGGGATTGCTGAGCTGACTCCTTGCCTGGAAAACCCTGATTGAGGAATTAAGCTTGGTTCATCATTGCTTTTCGATGCTGAGGAACACGTCCTGATGGCAGTTGTGCGCTGAACCATTACTAAGAGGGGAAACTGGTAGTAAAAATGACAGATGGAAATCATAACTAAAAATAACTAACGATCTATTGTCTTGAAACGAAAAATGGAAATCGTGCGACGTACATATTCGTTTATTCAGATGGACGCACTCGGTGCATTTGTGCGAGACGAGCGAGTTGATCTGATGGATGGGCGTGTGGCGAGCGACGGTATCGTACAGATAGATAACATCACTAACATCCAGCACTTGGTGTTCGACAAGAAGGAAGATTCCTTGGTGACCGAATTCTCTAGACCGCTAACGACTAGCGACTCATCGGACGCCGATCTGTCTCGTTGCATTGTAAGTACCGTTGAGGTTTTTTCCTAGTTTCATATCATTTTTCCCGACGTAATCACCCTATATTCGCTCTCGCTAGTGTGTAGCACATTGAAGAATAGCTGAATAGCCATTTAACGGTTACAGCAAAGAGAATGAAATGTGATGTGAAAAAAAGTGGTGTAAGTACGGAAACATTGAGTCAGATCGTCTTCTTTTATCAGTCTAGTCTATTTTGGAAACTGATTAATGTATTTGTATCGAAAATTTCCAATCTCTTCAATGTTTGGTCGCGTGAATTACGGTATTCTTTGCCCTGAACAAAAACCGGGGGCGTGTTTTGTCCGTGCAGAATTTGATTAAAATCGTAATTTTTCAAGAAAATGAATCGCTGCTATTATCGACTTAAAGTTTTAATAGAGAAAAGGGCCATCTAACGTATAGGCTTTGCAATTCCAGAGCTATTTCCGGTCAGTAGAAATCTTCGTCTAAAAGAAAAGACTTTCTTTTGTGCAGTTCATCAAATCCTCCAATGAAAGGAGACTTTAGTTAGTTTTACTTTTAAATTTCCTTCGAATTTATGGTAATGTTTTGACATTTTTTAGATGAATTTGCAATTTCGCAATGGACGAATTTTCTTAATGGGAAATTTTTCTTTTCAGCAGCGCATAACAAGTTGATTCGCACTGAGCTACTCACAATACATTTTGGGTTACATTTTACATTTTGAGATTAACTCTCACTGTGAAAAGGAAACGATATCTGTTTTGGCAATTCGCTATCGAACGCGCGTTTCTACAATACAGTGGGCAGATTTCTTCAGAAGACATGTTTTAAGGGTTATAGTATGTTCGTTGATTTGATCGTTGTGAAAGCATCAGACCAATCGGTAATCATTGTAAATCATGAATACGATCTGTATATGTCTTTTTCTTAGTGCAAACATATCCAACTAGTTTACCCACACATACTACAGCTAACGATCACTCAACTAGCGTTGTAGATGTGGCTTCCTCGCGGCATTCACATACGTTTGAACGGCTTCACCTAGTTGTGAAGAATGTACGATAGAAAAAAAATGAGGAGATGATGGATATTTGTCGACATTATATCCTCAGAGAATCGCAGTACTTAAACTTGAATACGATCCGGATCGTTCGTTGGAGTGACTAAAGTCAGAAAACACCAACTTGAATGTGCACTTCTTCTGCCACTGCAAAATTGAATTACTGTGTCGCTGGTGACACGCATATGCTCGCTTGATGTCGCCGTAGTGATTCTAGTCGTTCGTCATCAATTTCATATTGTTTGAAATCCAAAGCCCTAAGTTATTGAAGATTCTTCCGAAGAATTCTAACTAATTGAAAAATTACATTGATCGACTCTAACCAAATGTTTTCAGTGGCTATCGATTGATTACGGAAGGAGTAATAGACTGAGTGATTGAGATTAGAATTCACTATAGGAACGAACTATTGGCTTCACACCCCACTTTATGCTTTTTTTCCACCAGAAAAAGTTGTTTTCCATTTTAGAAAAAGAAAACGATAGAAATGGATAGTAGGAATTCTGGTTTTTGTTTTTCAAGCATTGGCAGTACGTGATCGCCAATGACGACGTGAAGTTCAAATCTAATCCACTCAACGGCCTAAATGTGAAAGAATACGGAACTTAGAGAATCAGATCTTGTGTAACTACTGAAAATAGTTCTTTTGAGTCTTTTTAGTCGTACAAAGTCGGTTAAATTAGCTTACTAATTAATTAGTTGAAATTAAATACTAAGTATTATGAAAGTGAAGAAATCAAATGTCGAAGACGCCTGCACTCATTTGCTTTGCGAGCATAGTCTTTCATAATTTCTCACATTTTTATCTTTCCTTGCACCTAACCAGTTGGAAAACTCCACTAAATCATCGTAATGTTAAAAATAAATCATCTTGTCAACGATAAAAACTGCATTAACCTCTTCATTCTGTCTTCAACTGTTGTAGTTCCATCATGAAAAGTGTCATTAATCTCTCATGTCTTCACTAAATAGTAACCGGTTTCGTTGACGGTGGAGATATTGATACTTATAACCATACTGTCATACGCACCATTATACACTAGACATAAGGCGCTTGTTAAAAGTGCCCTGAGATAGGCACATGGTCCTTAGTTCGATTTGGCATCTTAATTTACCCAGAATATCTCTGGGTCGAAGAGATGGTGCCAAACTGCTCTGGGAGGACCCATTGTCATATCATCTCAGACCAACATACAAGCCGGACATGTCACCTTTACGACGCTACGAATGGAATCGAATGCATGGCGTTTCTTTAGGAGATTGTCCTTTATTCTTTCACAGTAGATCTTATAATAATAAGAGGTAATCTAGCGATTTTTAGACGTTTTTCTTCCCATCGGAAGCCGTGAAAGTGGACGGTAACGGCCAAGTGATGGTCCCACAGCGACTGACGACAAGACGTGTTTGCAGCATACACAAGACGTGTAGCAACCATCATACAAGTGAGTGTGAGCTAAATGAGTTTGACATACGAAATTCTTTTTTCTTAAGTGGACAGATTCGGTTCACTTATTAATGAAAAAAAAGAATGACTCCAAAGTGATTTCACTTCGGTGCCAAGAGGCACTCGTCAAGTTTAAGTTCATCCTATAGTCAAAATTGACAAATAGGACGTATTAACAAGTGTCTAGTTAATCAGTTGGGGTCTACAGGATTAGCTACTTGTCCGAATAGCGGAGTTTACCTTACTTATGCGTTTTGTGCCTATGTGGGTGTCGACGATGCTCGTCACAGGCAAAGTAGCACAACCAAAACAGCCAACAAGGTAATTTATATAGTTATGCGTAAAAAGATGTTCTCATGGAACACCCAGTCCATGCTTGTGCATCTGTTCCTTGACTCGGTTTTTTTTTCCAACTTCCGAGTTCTTCGAGTCACTCAAATGCTATTTCCTGACGTTCGAGTGTTTTAATGCTTCGCTAATAATATTTCGCTTTACTGACAACTGACTTGTATGCTAATTAAAAGTCGTTTTTTTATTCTAGTAAAGTTAGTAGGTTTGTCGCATGTCACGAGCACTTTGATTCTCCAATTAGATATTTTGGATGTCATCTGGCTCTATCGACGGAGTTCATATATAGAGCTTTCAGATGAAGTTCTTTTATCCCTAAATTCTGACCAAGCTCATGCTGAGGCGTACCCAGGTGGTCGTCAAAGAAAATCGTTGGCCATTCTTGTGAAGCAGTGCGAAGATTTACCATCTTATAATTAACAAAGAACTTCCGTAGCGCGGTGGTTAGAGGTACTCCTGCAATACACATGGGTTCGATCCCATGCCCAAGAGTTACCAGACCTACCATTCCTCCGTTGTCGGCAAACTGACATCATAACTGTCTGGAAGGATAGCAGCACTGACTTGATACGTCGGTGGGCCACCGCGAGTCATTGTATAGGCTAGATGTGCATTCAATCACCTCTAACGATGCGTAATGAAGTCGAATACATGGCCCATCGTTTACAGATTGACAAACACCGAGAGTACCACCCTTTTCATATTACAACTAAATTTCTGTCTACCGTCAAATTTTTGCATTGGCTTGGTGCTAGCCGTACTAAATTTGTGCTATGCCTTTACAAACAGCTATTGATGAAGATAATATTTAAGGAGAATTATAAACAGTCAGGAAACACAGCGTAAAGAGGAGAAGGCGATAAAGTGTGAACCGAAGAAGGGGAAAGATTTCTTGACCCCACGCAAACTATGGGTTATTCTGATCGGAAATCCATAATACAAGAACAAAGGTAAACATCTATCGTGGCAGAGTGTCCTGCTTTTTCTGACTTCCTTATCAAGGGCACATGTGAAACGCAAAGTGGCTTAATTAGCGTCAGAGATTGTCAAACCAGATAAAGCAGTTCTGCTACGAGGCATTCTCTAAGCAGAGTGGCAACAGCATTGATAACGATGTGTTGAGGAAATTTATCACAAGGAATTTTAAAACAAACCAGTTACATGTGAAGACCAAACGCATTCGTCGAATTTTCCTGGAACGACTAGAGAAGGACAATTATTGGCTGATAAGTGGACTTGATGGCACCCAAAAAAACAACTGGGAGACTGGGAGTGTGATACAGGACAGGAATATAAGAAATAATATAAATCATTTACAGAAAGCAAAGATTGAAGCAAAGAAAGCATAAGCGGTTCTGCAAAGACGGTGTGGTGCATTGTTTCGATAATTTGTACTGAACACAAAATGCAAACTATGAGTCCTTTATCTCGTTGCATAAATTCCTAATTGGTGGTGAACAAATTTAATTCCTTAATAATGAAGATCCCATAGGCTTGACGACACCTACTTGACAAGGTGTATAATTCGTTCTTATGAATCATAAGTAGTCCTGTGAACCTCAGCTCAATTTCCACTTTACTACTTGAGCAAGTTTTTCGTTACCTAGAATCTCGAAAGTTGGGTTAGTGCTTCTCAGGAGCATCACCCCTTATTTTCGCAGAATGGCAAAGATTCCTGGCACTGATTTCTCACAGGTGTGTGCCCGAATGTAAATGTCGATCTCTCACTCAGCTCCGGTGACCGTTCTGCGAGATGGGAATGCACTGCTGTACATTGCCGTTCGGCATACAGAAAAACTACCCAACCATTCTAAGGCGGTAAATCATTGGGAGCTTGACAATACAAGGTGTAAATTTCTGCAATTTTTATGACAAACCGGTTCATTGGTTCGATTACAAAGAAGTACAGTTGTGACGAAGAAAATAATGTGTTCACAGTTGTCTAGCTCTGATATTCCTTTGTCAAAATCATAAGAGGAGGTAAAGAAGCACGATAACTTACGAATTTGCCACCTCGGGTCAGACCCTTGAACTACTTACGTTGAGAAAGAAAGGGAGAGATACCAAACTGTACAGCGCATCGTTCATCTCAGCGCTTCTACCATATTTTGAGGGCTACCGAGCTTCATAAAACCTCACTGCTTCCTAGGATAATACGGTAGTAGTACGGACTTTCTGAAGGACTGTGGTAGTACAAATACCGTGCAGGTGGCCTGTCTGGAAATTGAGCACTACGCAATAAAGCAAAATCTTTCGCCAAACTGTTTTCTATGATGTTGGGAGCATTTCTATCAGTTATCCACCAACCATGGTTTTTGGTAAAACAGTATTTGGAACGATTTCTACTTGAAATTACTAAAAATAAGAGCGGGAATTCTCAGCAAGATTTTCCTCCAAGGTTAGCAAGTGGGTGGGAGACGTCTCTAAAAGTGTGAGAACACTAGCCTTATAAATCGGCAGACCTCTTCAAATTGTTGTATCAGCAACTATATATACGGAACATCCAAAGTGCTACGAATGGACTTGAATTTATGGCGCGTCCCTGGGGGATTTTTTACTGACGAATGCTTGGACCTGATTTATAACATCGACATTATCAGCATTTGAAATCTGCATATATTATGCATTACCACACATGCTTGCGTCTCCTTCCGGTCTGCATGTGGAAGCTTTTCTTCTACTTCTGTCCTCGGTTAGGAACAGGCACTTTCATGTCACATGAATTCCTTTCGCTTTTGTTGTGCGCTATTTAATATAACAAGTATATCTGGGAAAAAATCCAGTACACCTTCCAGCCGATCTTGCATGCCTGAAAGAATGGGCTACAAATATGTGGGATGGTGTATAACAGAAGAAAACATCTCGACTAGTAGTGCGTTGAGAGTGAAGAACAAAGTCTCAGTACTTAAACTAACCACTCCAAAATATAAAACGCCTTCAATCCTTAAATCTTATGGAAGATGATGGAAAAACTGTCGGAAAGCTTGAAGTTGACGAAAACTTTCATCGGTAAATAGATATTGGAATGATATATAGAATATGTTAATTTTACTCGAAAAATTATCTTTGTTAAGAACATTTTTATATACTGTCATAAAAACTTTGATAAGAGAGAAGACTACTATATCTCTTTTAACATGCCGTTCTGATGTTTTTTTTTGGCTTATTGTTATGGAAAGTCCGATATTCCAGGTTTCGTGAAACGCGCGGCCGCGACGGTTTGTGAATACAGAAAGGGGAGGAGTACCGTAACCTGGAAAGCAGCAGGTGACAATGTGGAGTTCCTTATCGAACAAGACGCGAAGCGAGGAAAATGGTGGTCGGGTATTGGCATTGGGAAGTCTATGAGAGTAAGTCTTAGAAAATCTGAATAACGACTGAGATGATTACAAAGCTTGAAATACAAGATGGAAAACCAAAATTGAAGGCAAAGACCTTAGAAAGGGAAGTTGTAAGACAAAAAATTGATAGATGGTAGTCAAAAAAGACCGGAGAAATTGTCAAGAAAAAAATAGGTTTGCCGAATACTTTTTACACTTTCTTGAAACAAAATATTTTCAGTACTAATTTTTTAACACTTGATAAAGAATCGGAAAGTTCTACAGAAATTTGAAAAACGATCGGAAGCACTTTTTAGATCAGAAGGTCGTGCAAGTAGCAGGTTCTATATAGTTCAACGTAACTGAGATAGCAATCCATCTGTGGTCTACAAACTATCCAAGTTCAAAAAATATAAATTTTGAAGTTCTGTGGCCCCTTAAAACCACGTTTCGGGTTAAGGAAAACCTAAGTGACAAGGTGGTACTTGACAATTCATCCTTAAGTAGTCCGTCTTTGCGAAGAATTTACCTCAGCAGATTTCCTAGATAACTAGTATGTTTGTTATTCGTTTGACGATATTTCTCTTCCACCGCGTTCTTAGTAACCTTTGCCACATCGCTTTTAATCGAATTTGTAGTCATTTCAAAGTGGAACTAAGGCTTCTTCAGGATTTCCCCATTAGCAAGAATCGTTCCCATTTTTGATGTGCATGATGTAGTCTAGACGGGCACAATAGGCTCGTATGCGCCATTAATCTGTTCCCGTTCCGAGGAAACTCGTCGTCATTGCTATATTGCGCCCTATTATCGTTTTCTTTTATCAGGCAACAATTCTAGTGTACAATGTTGACGTATAAGTTGCATTTAAACACTTATGCCAAGGTCATTTGTTGTTGAGGTTTTTGCTTAGCCGCTTAAATAAGCCCATATGGGTTGTCGTGCGTTCACATTACAAGGCAATAGGCCGAACACAAAGCATTTGCCGTGAATTAGGGAACAGGCAGGCATGTTACGACCTTGAAGATCTTCACTTATGATACCATGCTTTCAGCAGATTACTGGATGTCGCTAAACAGTACAGAATTTTTATTTTTATTTATTTAAACAAAAAAATATTTTGTTTTATTTGACCCATCTTCACGTCTACTGTACGGATCCCAGCACTTCTCACATCCAATTCGTTTCCTTACATATATCATCCACGAAGGTCTTCCCAGTTTTCACGTGTGGATTCGGTTGCTGCTTGAGGATTTTCATTTCATATTGAACGTTGTAGGTAATGCTAGTCAAGGAATTCTTCCTGGAGTCTTGATATAGCCGGGCCGGAGCGTTCCCAATTACATTGCAGAAAGCAATTTTTTCTCAGGCAAGTCCGGTTCCAATTTCCCGGTCCCGCAGGGATGAGTTTGATTCGCCCGGAGCGGAATCGAGCCAGCACCATGCTCGTGATGACGAACATCGCTACCACTGTGCTATCCGCCTTTAAACAGCATAGAGATCTACATTAATTAACGATATGATTTATGTAATGTGTAATGCGAGAGGTTTTTTCATTTACCTATTTTTTGCCATTCTTTTGGAGTAACTTTTTGGAAAGTACTGCCGTACAGCTTACCACAGCTGAAAATCTATTTAACTTTAGTCGAAATTACAAGTTATTTTAAAAAGTAGGCCGAGAAAGAGAAAATGGTCTCATAAAGTAGGGAAAATTATCTCTCTCCGAGAGAACTAGTTCTGTGATGTCTGATTGGTTTAATTGTTTAATCCATATAGCCTTTTATAGAGTACATCTCCGAATAAAACAAAGGGTTTCAGGATATGAAAGCCGCAGTCGCGTTCCTTGAGAACGGAGTCGTGAAAACTGTCGCCGGTTATCAAACCCAAGGTTACGGAACGCCAAAACCTGACCCTATGGTCAATCCTGTGCTAAACAAAATAGTAAGCAAGAAACTTAACATATGTATGCATTGAAAACTACCGGAAAGAATATTGTTTTCCAGAATTCGAAAGTCAGAAACGGACGTTCGTTTGTAAACTTTGCCATATCAAAGAAGATCCTTGACCTTTACTCGGTATGTTCGACATAGCTCCTAGAGAATTAGAATTCATACAGTTTATGACTATGGCGCAAAAGAGCGTGAAAACAACGGGCAAGTCAAAGAATGTAATGTATTTGTCCGAAATAACTTCATTGTCTTACGAACTCTTTTTCTATCAATACTTTAAACTCTTTATGAGTATAATCTCTATGAATATTCATGCGGTACCATAGCCAAAAATATCACCGAAGTCGTTAAAATGTTAATGAATAAATCACTCTCAAGTGCTTTTTTTCACGTGATCACCGCATACAAAACCAGACCAAGCTACTGAAAGATGCACAATAAAATAACGTAGTCAGATGTGTCAGCGCAATATAAACAAATAGTTCGATGCTTCATCGTGATGATGAATCCTCTCGTCTATTAGCATAATTTTCATGATGAATTGTTCGGGTTCTAGAACAATTTCTGTTTGACTGGTCTTTAGCTGGTTAAGCAGGTTTCCGTTTTTTTCTGTAGTCCCGAGAAATCCGTCCTAGAGCGCCTGTCTCCTCACATGGATTTAAGGGATTATGAACAAAATCTTTGACGTTGATCAATTCTCCAGGAGTGCGCCATGTATTCAACTCCATTCACAGTATCGTTGAAGCGATTGAAGCATATTCGGCCTTCACAGCGAATTGCGACGGCTTAGGGATGTAGCAATTCAGTGCTGCTATCTTCGCAGACAAGTCTGGTACCAGTTTGCCGACTGTGGAGGGATGGAAGGCTTAGTGAACCCAGGACATGGGACCGAACCAGAGATCGATCCGGTGCATCGCCAATGGGAACTCTAACCACTGCACTACATGCACCTCTATACGGGTTTATCGATGGAAATATAAAACTCTTTTTCATTTTTATGGGTTACATAGTTTTACATCTAGAAATTAAAGTATTTACTTGCGCTTTTTGATTTTATTTGAAGTGGTGAAAGAATTAAAGACATCGTTAAGGACAACACTGGCTGCGTTCCATTGCAAATGGGTGTCCTTGCTTCACAATGGTCAAACAAGTATGAGATGAAAGTGCATGAGGTAAGAGAGAAACTTCCTGGGATTCTACTATTAATTCGGTTACTTATTTATTTTCTTCAACAATTATTTCACTTAGACATTTCTGCAATAGGGACAATTTCGTTTTTAATAAACGGTTTATATACTTATTAAAAATTTTTTCCAAAAGAATTGTCAAATATCCATAATGCGACAAAGGAAACCGGGCCGCTCTAGGAATTTCCCGGAAAAAAATCGATAATGGAATTGCGTAGGCTGTCATTAATACGAAAAAATTCGAGCTACATTAGATCTCAGAATTATCCGTATTTCACGAGTTCCATTTGTTTTCATTTACGAAATCGCGATTCCTTTTTTAAGCAGTGAGTTTTCCATTGAAAATCATTTTAAATACTCAATCCTAAACAATCTTGCTTTCTCGATAAGATAAAATCATGACGGCACCAGCAGAAATTCAGTCCCATCAGCATCCTTGCTTATTTTTGCGGAACCGATCTTCTCCCTCGTCCTTTTTCTCGCTCTCTCTTTCTCTCCTCCATTTTTTTCTCTCTGTGAAACCTTTCCACTACTGGACTGAATGTTCCCAGTTCATCATCACCACCCGATACCTTTTTCTCTTAAAACTGATTCAGTCACAGTTACCGTTCTACCATTTGCTCAACACAGGAAGAGATGAACAAATGTTTTGAATTGATAAACCAACAGTCAGAGGAAATAAATTTCACCCGGCAGGAACTGATGAAAGACTGGGTTCCATTTTTAAACGATCAAATCAGTTTGATCTCCACTTCCAAATGGTATCGTAAGTCAAGTGACAAAAACATACTAAAACATAAGGCGGCTCTGAGGAAGGCGAAATCCGCCGAAACGTCAGCTTTTACGTGAGTGGGGAAGTGGAATAGCACCTCGTGTTTGCTGAGCAGAGGTGGAAAGAATTGTTCAATCAATGCCGAGGTTAATAGAAAGTCGGACGTGGGAAAAACATACTAGTTCATTACCTTTCCTCTCACATTTCACACACAAAAAGGCACTTGCGATATAAGCTTCGTAGACCCGCCATTGTGTGCACAGCGAGAGAGCAGAAGGAAGAATCTTTGGACTTGGCGCGAGACAGCCATTTCCAATGGCTACGAAGCGGTGCTGATCAGCGTAGGCTTAGAGGAAACACACTCCCGAAAACGATAAGTCTAGTGAAAGCAGGGTCTCGTTGTTCCTATGCTTTATTTCAACTGAAATGAGCACAGCCATAAAACGTTGCTTAAAAGGGCTTCTTTAAGTAAGTCGGTAACAGTGATGGTACACCACCGAGCGCTCTGAGATGCCAGCTAGTTTGTAACTATTTGCATCACCATCTATGCATAGTGCAAAACTGCATAATTTGTTCTAATGTGAGAGACGGCGACTCTATAAGTTCGGGTACCGTATACGTTATCTCTTAAATCGTGTGGCGATGAATACCTTGGTGGAAATGGGTAGACCACTCTGCGTATGAAAGGCATAAAAGACTAGAGGGCAAGCAGTTAAAGAAAAGTGTCCACTAGGCGCCCACATAGTACCCACAAACATCATCGAGAAGATTTTGAAGTAAAAGTCATGATATTCGCACAGGAATCCAAAACTTTGGCTCGTAAAATTCTTGAAGCGTTTTGGATAAAGTCCGAAAGTCCGGGAAGCATCCGATAGGAGGAATGCTTTGTAATCACATGTGGCCTCGCGCATACCTCAGATCGATTTCTTGGTCTGAGCCACACACATTTCTAACCCACTTAAGATTCCGTGCTGCTGGTCTCCAGTAATAAGCTGGAGACTTAATAACAAGAAAACGGTTAATGTTTAAGAGAAGTTGTTCACTATGTGATTAAGCATTCATGCATTGTTTTGTCTGCTAAGGTTATAGAAGTACTTGGCTGAGTAGATTGTCTGCCAGTTTGACACTTCCAGGCTTTCAACAAGGCGAAACCGCCGAAACGTCAGCCACTGTGTAATAATAAGTACTCCAACAACAGCCTCGAATTTGCTCATCAAGGAAAACAGTGATTTAGTTACGCTTCCACTGAAATTACAGCAGTGATACTAGTTTTATTTAAAAAGAAAACGAAAACAGGTTGAGATATTGATAAATATTTCTCAAAAGTATAAACGATAAGCGTTCGGCGTTGAGCGACCAATTGTGGATCGGTGCCTATCGATGTACCAACGCAGAGTTTTATATTCCCATGTAAGTCTGCCAAAGTAATAGCAAATTACCGTCTCAGAGTGATGAAGGCTTCATTTACTCCGGACTCGGAGTCGAATCATTGATCACGTGGTGCGTGTTGAAGAGTACCACCACTAACCACTGCACTATAAGCGCCGCTTAAATGCACATCATTGTAGAGCCGTGGCGCTTCTCTTCTTCTTTTCTCTTCATTTTCTTAATAAAAAAAAATAGATTCTGTTCTAGAAAATACCGGAATCCGTTGTTGTTTGTGGAATTGAGCATTGTGCAGACACGAAGACCGGTACCGCATTCGCTATTGAAAGTGAGCCAGAATCGACGAAAAGTGGTTTGTTTTCGAACGAAAAGATTTCTGACAATCATCCTAACAAACATTTTTCTAAAAGTTATTTTTAGGTCTCGTTGATGTAAATTTTAGAAAAGCAGCGGAAGGGAATATCGCTGTAGCTTTTAGTAAGTACAGTCCAGTTTTCTACGACACGTGTTGTTTTGTTCACAATATTGAAAATTAGAATGATGTAATGTAATACTGTTTTACTCTCATGTTCCCAACTTTGTTTTTGATTCGACCTTCACTCATTCACAAACCAGTCAGCCTACCAAGGAATCCTCCTACCGTTTTTGAATCTACCTTCATAAAAACCTATTTTCGCCGTGATTCCAGTGATCGATATTGATGAATGAAAAACAAAAGTATTATATTAGCTTGATATATTTATTTATATGACCTTAAGAACCGATCTTGTTCCGATGCGAGGTCGATATAAGTTTTCGTTGCTGTTGTTGTTGTTGTTGTTGTTGTTGCTGTTGTTGTTGTCGTTGTTGTCATTGTTGTTGGTCGGTGGCTGAAGTTTCAGCGATTCGCCTTCCTCAGAGCTGTGCTGTTGCGATTGGGACCCACGTTTCATTAATACGATAGATATTTCATCGAATATGAGCCTACTGTTACATGTTACATAATATACGTGCAGACTCTGAGGTAGGCGAAATCACCAAAACGTCAGCCATCGCCGAACAACACCAACAACAACGACAACGAAAACCTATAGCAACGTCGCATCGGCTCAACAAGATCAGTTCATAAGAGCATATAAATGAACGTGTAAACTATTTATGCTGAGGTTTATAAAAAGCAGGTCTTTTGAATTATTACATTAGCAGCTAAGGACAAGTTTTCCAGTTCTTTCTAAAATATATTGAGGAGAAGCAATAGAAAATAACGCAGTACTTCGAATTGGGCGAAATATGTTAATAAATGAATGAAACACGAAGAAATACCACACGTTCTATATTGGAGCAATTACAACTACGCTAGAGAAGCTTTGTGAAAAGTATGAAGCTGTTTCGTAACGAATTTAGTAGATTTTCGAGGTTCGGACTGGTGCTCAGTTGCGATATTTGTTGGAAAAGAAACAGAGTCCTAATTCCATGTGGTCTTTATCTTGTTCCAACTAAGCTCCACTTGACATACAACTTTTATAAAGCTGTGTCGAGATAGGAAAAAAGTCTTTTCCATCAAATTTGATGCGTAGCGGCGAGAATTATTACGAAGAAACTTTAGAGTTGGGAAACAACACCAATGTGGACGCCGAAATATCTTTTCAAGGGAATACTGTGGAAGAGGCTAGTGGAGAAGGTACGAGCGATCCTTTTAACGCCTTTCTTTCCTTCGTAACTTAGAAAAAACTTTCGACCAATAATGGAATATACGTAAATGTTCCTAAAGGAAAGTATTTTCCAGCAAAGGAGCAGCTTTCAAAAATGTCCATTATTGACACGCTGTTCTTTCCAACGACGAGTCCCCCTCGTAGATTGCTTTGTTCTCATATTTCAATCATTTTTCATACGGTGCTGCTCATTTCGGTTTTGGCTTTATCTTTAGAAGAAATTTTACTTATTCCTCTTTCTATTCTCATTCCATGAGAATAAAAAAAGGAATAAAAACTTTTAAAAAAGATCTACACTCCGTAGAGAAAATATCATCTTGTATTGTGCTAAATATTGGTCAATTTGAAGAGTCATACCAATTCAAAAGGGTGGCAAAAACCATAGATTATCAAGATATTCTTCGTATTTTAACAGAAAAAAGTGAAAAAATTACATATGCCGTGATATGCGATGTATATTGATTAGCTGATGATTACAATTGGTCGAAATCACTATCTGCTTGAGGAGTACGACTCCACCTCTGGAAAATCATTACAGTAAAATGAATTTCACCCTTGTGTGAGCAAAGAAAAAAATCATGATCATCCAGTTTTTTTTCTTCAGTGTTGCATTTCTGTTTCTATACTAGTTTTAGTTTTGTTCTCTTTCTCAATAATCACGAGGTTGTTATTAACCACACCTTTACTTTTACAAGAAAAACACATAAAACACAACGCTAGCTGACGTTTCGGCAGTATCGCCTTCTTCAGAGCCTGGAAGGGTACACTAATATCTAATTTACTAAGTCAAACGCTTTAACGAAGCAAACAGAAAGATGAAAATCTTAACAATAATTACACGATCACCGGTTTCTCGAAAAGCCCACCGTTTCTTATGTGCCTTCCACCGAGGACGAACAGCCGCTTAGAGTCACACATGGTTGATTACTGCACCATCTCACATCAAAAATTAGTTCTGAGATACGGGGCTAGATCACGCGTTATTTCAGGGCATTCTTCCCTGCTATTCATTCCCGGATTTTCGGAATTTATCCAAAAAGTCTCGAGGAGTTTGCGCTTTGACGTTTTAGGACTCCGTGCGAGGATAGTTACTTTTGTGTCGAAATCGCCTCCACTATGCCTTTGTGTCCTGTGTGTCCCTTGTGGCGTATCTTGTCTTGCTTTTCGTTTGCCATCTAGGTGTTCTTTTATGCGGATACATAAAGGTCTGCCCGTTTCGCCAATATATTTGTCTCCGCAAGTACTACCGCAAAAAATATCAGCTATATCGTACCTGAATTCATGTAGTCACCCGTCCCTGTTATAAGGGCAAATTACGCAATTTGGTGTTTCACATAGACGGTCATATAGGCAGTTGCGACCTAACTGGCGACGAAGAGTATTCGTTGGTATTTCAGTTATCGCCACCGATTCTTCTAGATCTGCCCTTCTTAAGCATCGCTTTATCGCCGCACTTATTTCATCGCTAATAAAAGGCACAGGATTCCAAAACAGCAACGCACAAACTTTTCGAGGTCTTTTGGATAAATGCTAAAAACCCGAGAATGAATAGCAGGAAAGAATGCCCAGAGATAACACGTGATCTAGCCGCCTATCTCAGAATTGGTTTTGATGAGTGGTGATGCAACCGTCAACCACATGCGATTCTAAGTGGCTGTACTTCCTGGGTGGAAGGCAGGTAAACCAATGGGTTTTTCGAGAAGCTGCAGATCGTGTATTTATCAATCAGATTTTCATCTCTCTGGTTGTGCTGTTGAAGCGTTTCACCTATTAAATTATATATCGGTGTACCCTTACAGGTTCTGATTGTAATCCAATGCCAAGCTTAACAAAAAGTCGATCTTGGGAACTTGTTTTAGCCTTAATTATTTTATTTACTGCATACTCTTTTTTTAATGGCAGGGTATATTGCGAAATATAACTTCAATGAAGCTGAGATGTTGGCAAACTATGAACCGCTGGTGGATGCGGTGGGGAACGAACGCGCTATTGTCCTTTCCGGGGAGTAACGCGTTCACCACCACACCATGCGAGTCCTTCGTTTCGCCTGTCTCTCAGCTAGTTCTAGGCAAAACGAAGGACTCGCATGGTGTGGTGGTTAACGCGTTACTTCCCGAAAAGGACAATAACGCGTTCGTTCCCCGCCGCAGACATCTGCGGTCCGGAGTTTTGCCAATGTCTCAACTAGTTTTAATGTTTAGTTGTCAACTAAATACTAAAGTCTAATCGTTTTTTAAATAATTTATCTTGGTTAAGTGTAACCACTGGCATATTAACTTGTGGTGACCAATGCGGTGATATCAGTTCAGCGCTGCTCTCCTCGTAGACAACAAGGGACGAGTTTGTCTACCCTGGAGGAATGGATGGCTTGATAAGCCTGGAGCACTAGAGCGAACCGGCTACCAGATGTGTATTGCAGGGTACCTCTAACCATTGTGCTACACTCGTTCTTATTCACATAAGTTTTTCGTACAAGCTATGAGAAATGGAAAACAAGTGCAATAGAATAAGAAAATGAGAAAAAGCAAAAGATGAAAACGAAAAGAAAAGAAAATATATCTTTCTAGCATAATATGAATGTTTCTTTGTCCACAGAAGCCCGATCCAATGCGTTCTGAGGTCGCCCGTCACCACAGGTATGAGCCAGACTTTGTGGATTGAAACGCAGTTGGTCATCTAGCAGCCACGTTTCTTCACTAACAACTGCAAAAGCATGTGATTGTTCTGTGCTTCGAAAATTTCGAAAAAGAAAGGAGATTCGGGCTCCACGTCGGCTTTGAAAATCCTAATCGGCAGATAGGCTTTTACTCTGGGCCACAATTCGAAATTAAGAACCACCAACTGGCTACCAGTTTGCGATTGACCATCGCAGGAAAGCATCTCAATGTCGAGACCTCGTGTTAGCTTCTCAGCGAAAAAAACATATTGCTCAGTCACTTGGAAGTTAAAGGAAACTCGGTTTTTGAAACATTGATACGCTCTGCGCTGGTTGGTACCGCAAGACAGACTGTCCGAAGAAAAATAAACGATTATCAGCGCAGAATCAGTAGAAACAAACAGTTTCTGTATAAAAGAGCGCTACTTAATGAAGTTGCCTCATTCGAACGGTGCTCCAATGGAGTTGGCTCGAAGCAGTCGCAAAGGCCCAGATCGGAATAAGGAAGAATTGTGGACAGTTAACTCGGATCAATCCAGCGCTGAAGAAGGCGAAGGTACCGAAGTGTTAGCCGAATAAAAACTTTTCCATCAGTCTGGTTTTAGCTTACTAACGAAAAAATATATTTTAATGAATTGATGGAAATTCAGACATGGTGTGAATAAAAAAAGGTTGAAAAGTAGCATAGATCTTTTGGCGTTGATCGATTCTTTAGAGATGCGCCACGTTTTCAGTTTCATTAGTATCGTCGTAAAGGCGTTCTACTGCATTTTCTGGGCACAGAGTGACCTGTGTGGCGTACCGACTTAAAACAGTATTTTTAACTCCCCATGCGGATCTCGTACCTGTTTTTCAGCCTCATAAGAATGGAGAGTTTGGTTTTGCCACGCCAAAGGGATCGAACCTGTGACAACGTATGTATTTCAGGGCATCTCTAACCACTGTGCTACACGAGCCAGTGCAAATAGGATAAAAAGGATTAAGGACAAAACTCTGCGTGTTGAAAAAAGAAAGCGTGTTGATCAGTCTCTGAGGCATGTGCTATGCATTCGACATTAAGCATCGTTAGAGGTGACTGAGTGTATATCTGGTGCATGCAGTGGAGGCCTAGTGATGTATCGAGTCGGTGCTGCTACCCTTCCAGACAGGTATGGTACGAACTTGCTAACAACTAAGGAGAGAAGCTAATGAGGGATGGAAGGCTTGGTGAGCCTTGGGAACAGTGTCGAAACCATGTGCGTTGAGGAACACCTCTAATCACTGCGTTGCACGCGTCTCGTAAATATTATAAGATTATGAAAATTAGCATCAATGGAAAATAACTTTTAGAATACATTCTGTGTTTTAAAAAACATTACAAGATGGTATTGCAAGAATTTTCACCGAGAATTCATAACATGTCGATGTCGACTAACAACAGAAGAACGCTTTGCAAAGTGTTTCTTCTAACATCACCGTATACTAGTAGTCTTTTTCTTTGGTGCGGTCATTCGTCCGTTCACTCCAAATCATTTTTATGGCTGTCGTGCTTTGTATGACGAATGCTATTCGTTTTCGGTAACGAATGACATTCTATTGCGGTTTGAGAGAGGTTAGTGGTCGTCAAATGACCATGGAAGCCACTGTCGAAACCAGGTCAATAAAATACGAGAGGGATTTCTATTGGATATCAAAATTTTCTCAAAAGAGGCAGGATTTTTTTTCCTTTCGAACGGAAGCGCTGGAGTTTTCTAGACGGAATGGGGATTTTTCTCATTTAAATTAAATTATTCTTTAATTTTTATTTTAGACTTTACCAACTCGTCATTTTTAGTTCACTTTAAGAATGCGGATAATATAGAGAATTTCGATTTTATGTTAGCTAATGAAGACTTCATAAATAGCAGCACGATGGGCAAGCGCTTTGGATTCCTAGCGATTTCATCTCCTTACACTCTTATGTTAGTTTCATTCGCACTACTAGTCTTTCCTTCCATTCAGGATCTGGAGAAGAAGAAGCTTCTGGAATGGAAGAAGGATCGGCTGAAATGGAGGTTAGTGAATTGCGATTTCTCTATGATTATCACCACTTTTTCTGATAAAACGTCGTACAAAACACTTTTCTGATAGCGCGAGATTTTTTTCGAGAGTGAGAATTTCTGGGAAAAGTGGTTGAAGGTGATTTGTAATTTTCCGTTTTTCATTTAAGAAATTTTCAGGCTGGTGAAGTCAAAGGCGAATTATGGTCAACTGAAGAACACCAGGTATGGGAGAAAAATCTTCTGTTCTCTGAAAGACACTACAAAGCATGTTGACTGATTTATTCCAGATGGAAACTATGAACGAAACGTCGACAGGCAATGAAATTGAAATCCAAGGTGTTATAAATGGTATAGCAGCTCTTTTTTTTTGCTTTGTGATATTTGCGTTATCGACTACTAGCAAGCTAAAACTGTAGATCCATACTTCTGGGATTTTTTCGAAAAGATCTGAATTTGTATCGAAAAAAAATACAAAGGTTGTAAGCATTGAAGGTGTTTCGAATATATTTTGAAACAATGACATTACTAGTTGTACAGTTTGCTATGGGTTAAATTGCTCGACCGATTGATCAACTAATTGGTCGATCAATCAATATATATACATTACAGCGGTTGGGAATAACATGAATTTGATTCAAGGTCAAGGGGAAAAAGTTCAATCAAATGCGACGAAGGTTATTAGAGGACAAACTGGTACATCATTACTACTAACAAAAACACTTACTGATGAAGTGACAAAGATCATTCAATCAGGTCAGTGAACCGAGGTCATTACTGGCGAGACATTAAAAGAACCAGATGGATCGAAGAAAAATGATGTTCTTTGCGTTCCAGGATGCGATAAGGATCATACGGACTTGTTCATTTGCGAGAGTTACTTCAATAACTATCTTTTCGAAGTCTCTAATTGGGCTAAAGCTCACGATCAAGTGCTGGAAGACCACATGTGGAAGGTACGAACACTTCTATCATGGAGAACTCGTTCGAAAAAAGAGAGTGGTTTCAAGAGTTTTCAATAATTGGATAGCTTGAAAACAAATTGGTTAACACTTGACGATATCTGTTTTTTGAATGCAACGTATTTAAAATGAAATCTCAGGCATTTTTTTGTCATAAAAAGTGTTGGCAGGCATAAGCCTTTTAGAAAGGAATGTCAATAATGCAGAAGACAGTGTTATGTTCGAACCTATGAAAATGTTTATTTTTTTTTAAATTATTTCTATATTTTATTTGAAAAAAATTATTCCTATATTTCACCTGTTTATACCTAGTATGTGGACCTACACGATATCGGCAACTATTGTCCAATCTGCTTGGTGTCTGCCGTCTACAAACTTTCCACTCGAGTCATCCTAAACAGGATTGACAGAACACTGGACGAAGGACAGCCATGTGAGCAAGCAGGGTTTCGAAAAGGATTGAGTACAATGGACCACATCCACACGGTAACAAGGCTCGTTGAAGTATCGCGAGAGTACAAAAGACCGCTCTGTCTCACTTTCATCAAACTACAGAAGGCCTTTGATTCAACTGAGATAGAAGCAGTCTTGGAAGCCCTTGATATTTAAGGAGTCCCTACTCAGTAGATAAAGATCTTTCGCGAGCTTTACGAAAACTTCACAACCAAAATATCACCAATCTACAACGATATTAACGCTGACGTCAAAAGAGGAGTTAGGCAAGGCGATATCATCTCGCCAAAATTATTTATCGCTACTCTCCAGAACGTCATGCGAACATTGGAATGGGATAAAATGGAAGTGAAAATCGACGACCAGCAGTTACACCGTCTTCACTTTGCTGATCACATTGTCTTTGCAACACCAAACTTTAGCCAAGCGGAAGGTATGCTTGACGACTTTGATAAAGCCTGTGGAAAGATTGGTTTTCGGCTAAATCTCACAAAAACGATGTTCATGAAGAACGGATTCGTTTCGCATGCCCAATTCACGCTCAACGGGACGAATATCTCTAAACACTCAAGTTATGTCTATCTAGGTCGGGAAATCAATATGATGAACGACCTAGCTCCAGGGCTGAGGTGAAGAAAACGAGCGGCTTGGAGAGCTTTCAAGAGCATCGAGGATGTAGTGAAGAGAACAAAGAACACCCGATTCCGTGCCCAGCTTTTCGACTCAGCGGTACTTCCTGCCCTAACGTATGCGTCAGAAACTTGGTCGCTGCGTAAGCAGGATGAAAGGTCACTCAGCGTTATCGAACGCGCAGTCGAAAGGACTATGCTAGGAGTTTCCCTTTCCATACAAGTAAGGGGTAGGATCCGATGCTTCGATCTGCGTCAACGATCAAAAATCAAAGATGCCGTTCTGTACGCCAAACAGGCGAAGATAAGGTGGGCTGGACACATAATGTGTATGAAAGGCAACCGATGGACAAGAGCCGTTAGTGACTGGATTCCTCGGGATGTCAAACGTACTCCAGGAAGACCACCGCCCCGATGGTCATAGTACTTCACAAAGAGCCTTGAAGAAAGATACAATGCTCGACGAGTCTCTAGAGCGAGCAGAACCCACTGGGCTACTCTTGCACGGGACAAGGAAAAATGGAAGATTTACTGGCGCCCGCTCGAGTCACTCGCTCGACGATCAACGGGACTACAGGTGATACAGGTGATGTGGCGCGGTTGTCGTCGAGCCTTCCATCCCTCTCGGGTCGGAAAATTACTACCAGACTTGTCTGGAAGGATAGCAGCATTGGTTCGATGCATCAACCTCAGGTCGTCGTGAAGGCCAGATATGCATTCAATCGCCTTTAGCGATGCTTAATGAAGTCGAATTCATGGCGCATCCCCAGGGATTGGTCAACGCCGAGAGCTCTATCCTTTTGTCCTTTTATACCTAATATTCTTAATATACTTTATTAAATTGAACTACTAAAGTAAAATGCAAAGGAAAAGTGGGTCCAAACAGTTCTGTGTTCTGAAGTTTCAAAATTGTGTTTTCTCTGAGGACCTAGGGACGTGCAAAAATCTGATGTAATCCAAAATGGGCTCTCTTCGTATGATTCAGTTGTCTTTTCTCTATTCCTTCCTTTCTTTTTGCTCCATTTTATATAACGATCATCGGACAATAAGTGCTCAACTGTTGGTTCAATGGGATTTCTAAGGTTTCTTGTTTATTTTATTCAGCATTCAGACGGAGAGCGTTAGGGCGACACTATTCCACTCGATGATGCTGAGATATTTGCAAAACTCCAGACCGCAGGTGTATGCGGTGGGGAACACAAATGCGCTATTGTCCTTTCCGGGGAGTAGCGCGTCCACCACTACACCACGCTGGTCCTTCGTTTTGCCTGTCTCTCAACTAGTTCTATCGATCTTTTGCCATCAGCGATCACCCGTCAGTGGGATTGATCTGGGGGGCCCAAATCGGCAACGAGGCCTGTTAAGCTGAGGCCGCAGTTATAGTCACAATTTTAACTTAATATTTACTGCCTACTCTTTTTCATCGGCAGGGTATACATTGTGAAATATAACTTCAATGCTGACGGATGATTGCTGATGGCAGAAGATCGATAGAACTAGCTAAGAGACAGGCGAAACGAAGGACCAGCGTGGTGTGGTGGTGGATGCGCTACTCCCCAGAAAGGACAATAGCGCGTTTGTTCCCCATCGCATACACCTGCGGTCCGGAGTTTTGCAAATATCTCAGCATCATTGAAGTAGTATTTCACAATGTATACCCTGCCGTTAAAAAGTGTAGACAGTAAATAATAAGTTAAAACTATTCCACTCAGTTACCGGATTAAGAATATTTGAATGCTTTAAAAACCTACTGAAAATTTGACGTTGTTATCGATGAAAATTCTCAACATCATTCATTATACTTCGTCTCGTTTATTTTGTTATGTTTCTTCCCATCTAGGTGTCGAGTGCACTGATTAAAGATGTCTAGTGGTACACACATGATCGCTAGTTTGACCTCATACTGGGACATCCAAGCCTCCCATCTCTCCTTCACCAACCCCCTTCCCGGGATTCGAAGACTTTTAGCATAATTGTCTGGGATTATTTTTTTTGATTCACGGACACATTCGACAATCTGTGATGATCATTGGAGCTATCCGACGATTTAGGAGGATTTATTTTCACCAGCATTCAGCGACATTCATAAAAAATACAAAATCCTCAAGTTGTAACAGAAACTACCCGCATACTTGGGTTACGAGACTTCAAACCGAGCGAATGAAGTGCTGGGATTGGCACAGTGGGTCGGGTAATATAAAAAATGTCTTTATTATTATTTGTTCAGGTCGTTATTTACACATGGAAGCTAAGTTAGGACTAAATCTATGCCAAGAAGCACTGTCATCTTGGAAGATGGTCGTAATCGCAAAGCACAAATCTTCTTGCGATTCATGAACATCATCGACAGGTGCCGAGAACGACTTCCTATTAACCTCGGCATTGTTCAATAAATTGGTGCTTTATTTTTGACCAGATACGAGATTGCCAATAACAATTATGGACAATACTTATGGAGATACAGGGCTCATCGCTCTCGCTACACATTGTGTAGGAATTCAAACTGCTATACATTTTTGTCCATCGAACGTGTTCTTCATGGAAAACATATTCTTCATACCCTCAGCTGAAAGAGAGATCTTTTTGTCGAATAATATCTCTTAGGCTTTCTCATGATTGAGAACAGTTTGCTGAACGGTTCGATGCCGCTGGCACTCTGGGCAGTTGCTATGCACTTCTCCATATTGTTGTTATTCCATACTTATATCGGTAAAGGACAAGGCTTTAGGCTTTGTTTAATAATTTATGAATGCGCCACGTATTAAACTCTATTCGTAAGGGCTTTTATTGAGACTTTCCGATATACGAAGCTAATGTTTCTATATTTCTGGATAACTCTTACAATAATTTACCTAGTTAGAAGAAATTGGGAGCTTGATGAGGCCAAGGTGGCGAGTCGTTCCAGTGACCGAGTGCATCGGAAGGTAATTCAAACCATTGTGATACAATTATGCGTAGGATCCATTTGAGAATTCATAATGTCCTCACATAACATCTTGCCATTGTCACGGAATTGTCTGATGCTCGAGCGTTCTCATTACATTGCAAAAGGTCTGGGCAGTTTACTGTCTATTGTGTTTTCTTGTCCTTTTCAAGTCAGAATTATCTAACAATACCTTGAAGTACAAAACACTTGATCTCCACTACGCTTTTCTTTGTCAACGATAATTCTTTATTTTTGAAGTTACTGAAAGTTAATGTTTTCTAGTCAGTAAACCCGGTCTCGTCATTGAATTTGCAAAAAGTTAAGATTCTGTGGACAAGGGTAGAAATACCACTTCGACAATACAAAAGATATTCTTAGCAGCCTTGTTTGAAAAAAGCTCTCAACAACGATGTGAAAACCGCGCCGTATTTTCCTACGCTGCTCTTCAGTTACGTACGGTTCCCACACAAGTGGCACACAGTCTTCACTACTCCATCAGGAAGGAGACTACATCACATCGACTTCAGTTTTTCAGTCATTCCTCTTCGTTTATTCTCGTCTTGCGCAAAATTTTTAGTTTCCTTCAACTAGTACTCATATCAATGTCAATCTACGGATAGTTGCTCTTTAGTTGTACCATGGAAGGAAAGTGTACGCTATCAGCTATCACCACACGCCCAACTGTTCTGTTTTGAATTTCCCATTGATAGAAGACTTCACAATGCTTACGATGGAGTACAGATCTGCATAGCAACCGCTTATATCGTGTCGTTTTACCAGTTTTGATGATATCAGCTTTATCATGGTCCAAATGAAAAGCGTAAAAGGATAAAGCGCTTGGCTTGACCAAGCCTTGAGAGATTCGCCACGCATCCGACTGTAATCAGCATCGTCAGATGTGAATGAATGCATATCTGGCCTATGCAATGGCTTGAGATAACCTATCAAATCAGTGTTGTTATCTTCCTAGATAAGTCTGGTGCCAAATTGCTGACCTCGAAAAAGGATAAAAGGATTGGTGAGCTTGGGACATTGGATCGAACCAATGACCACATGTGAATTGCAGAGCACCTCTAACCACTTCGCGAAGCCCTAATTTTCGTCTTCATTTTGCTATTTAAAAGAGAGACACCGTTTCACAGCTGTGTGGTGATCGCTGGATTCACTCTAATAAGACTCAGCTTATTCCATGAATGACGGGTAGCTTAAACAGAACCAGAATCCTTAAATATCCTAAGTTCAACACTTGGGACTGTTGATCATCTGCCATCAGATATGAAATACGGAACGTCAGGTATACTTTCAACCTCTGATTACCCTTTCCAAGGACTCTCATGGTATGCGCCACCTCAGCCGAGGCTCTAGCTTCGCCTTCTTCTTGCTTTCATCTTCAATTTTTATTTCTAAGCAAACAAACTGTAGAACTTTATGATTTTGACTACAGCTTCAGTTTAACTGGATTCAATGCCAATTCGTTCTTTTCTGATCATTCCCATTCACTGGTGGCCGCTGCTGCCACCGTTGCAGTAAAAAAAAACGGCTGTGAGAAAGGTAAAGCAAATTCTGTGCTTTTTCGGAATGGAGACCTTATCTGGTTCATATCATCTGCGAAATAAGTCTCAATACTTAACGATGAACTAATTTTTGATCAAAATGTTGTTGAAGACTACTTACGCAACCAGATATTTGCAAAACTCCGGACCGCAGGCTTTTGCGGTGAGGAACGAACGCGCTATCATCCTTTCTGGGGGATAAGGCGTTCACAACTACACTATGCTTTTCCTTTGACAGACATCTGCGGTCTGGAGTTTTGCAAATATCTCAGCACAGTTATAGTTGTATCACATCTAATGCCCTGCTGTGAAAAATTGCAGTAAGCATTAAATAAAAAGTTAACTCTTGACGCATTTCAGAACAATCCTTTTGTCAATGGACGAGCTTATAGAAGCCATTGCTTAGAATTTAAAAACTGTATGAAAACTGTCAATAAAAGCATTTCTTTTTTGAAGATACTTAAAACTTACTTAATAAGATTTTTTTTCGTCTTGTTATTTTCCTTGGATATTCCATTTTAGTAAATTTTCATTTTCAGGCCTGCATGCTACTGTCACTAGTGGAAAGGGTGCCATCATCATGTTGTACGAAGTTCCAAACCACTTGCGCCAGTTTCTTGGAGTTCATCCGTAGGCGCATGTAAAGAATTGATCCTAGTTCTATTACAGGTTTAACGAACAAAGCGCCGTTTCTTGAAACAACAAGAAAAAAGTTCAGGAAATTCCTTGTTTGCTATTATTCAGTTATTTCATCTGTAATAGCTTTTGCACTAAAATAGCCTTCTATTATCTGTGTTTCTCGATTCTTGTTTCCGTTTTTGCGGGATTGGAGAGCTTTTTGCTCTTGACATTCTGAATATTTAAATCATGATACCTACTCGAACTTGCCCAACTGTGATACTCGCACGGCGTTTTGTTGGTGATATCAATCATATCGGATCATTTTTCTTACCTGACTTGCTATAAAACTGAATAAAATTGCTTATTCTAGTTTGGAGCTATCATCATGTTGACCACATACGTATCATACATATAAAAGACTACTAGCTACTGTGCTGCACATGTTCTAAAAATGGATTGAGCGTTCAGGGTTAAACAATCGCCTGAGAGATGCGCTATTCAATCGACTTAACAGCATCTTAGATAGCGACTTAGAGGTGACTGAATGCAAATCCGGTCATCCAAGTGATCGGCACTTACAAGAGGTAAAGGGATAGATTATTTCGTGTTGACCACTCACACAGGGTGCACCATGCATTCGACTTCATTCGTAGCATTTCAGGACTGAATAAAACCTCGTGGACTGAAGGCATGGCTGCGAACCAGTGATCGATCCAGTGTAAATTGTAGAGGACATCTAGCCAGTGTGCTGTACATGTCCTAAAAATGGATTAAGCGTTCGGGGTTGAACAATTCCCTGAGGAAAGCGCTATTCACTCGAATTAACAGCATTGTTAGAAGTGACTGAATGCATATGCTGTCTACCAACTGACTCGCAGTAACCTACCGATATATTACGCCACTGGTGCTATCTTCTTAAGCAAGAATGATAACAAATTACTGAGCTCTGATGAATAGAAGGTTTGGTGAACCTGGAGCGCGGAATCGAACCAATGACTACATTTGTATCACAGGTCACCTCTAACCACTGCGCTACACGCGTCTCACGTACCGTACAACACCTATGTTAAATAGTAATCAGATAATTGAAGAAATCTTGTTGGAAACGACTAAGAGCATCACAACCCTTAAAATGTCAATATTAGAGGTATCAGCTCGTCAGGTAACACAAGATGGCTGTACTAGTGAACTTTGCACTTATCACTGACGTCTCTCGAAGAAATCCACTAGGTTCTGTTTATTCAGTGGACACGTTGGGCATTACACCTTTTGTGGAGACCTTTATTTTCATTGTTTTTGGTGAGAAGGTGCCAATGGATAGCTTGTTCAGTTCTAGCGTGGGGTGTCGAGTAAACCAATCACACGTGGTTTATTCGTATGCTTACTCGAAGTAATCATGGGCTGCTTAGGATGATATCCAGAATAGTCTTCTAGACATTCTCAACTTATTTTGCTAAACGAGTGTGATCGCTAAATCGAAATGTTGTAAGATGTGCGATCAAGATCTCCGCAAAAACAAACACATACTTATGCATCAATATTTTTAAGTCTAAGTGAAAGATGTGAGTAAGCCCAATACAACTGAAGCAAGGGCTATTGCTCGAATGTATTAGTTGCGTTTTACAGCCAGTATCACCTGTGTCACCTGTAGACCCGTTGATCGTCGAGTGACGAGCGGGCACTAGTAAATCTTCCATTTTTCTCTGTAGCGTGCAAGAGTAGCCCAGTGGGTCCTCCTCGCCCTAGGAACTCGTTGAGTATCATGTCCTTCTTCAAGCCTCTTTGTGAAAACTCTGACCATCGGGTCGGTGTTCTTCCTGGAGTACGTTTGACATCCCGAGGAATCCAGTCACTAACGGCTCTTGTCCATCGGTTGCCTTTCATACACATTATGTGTCCAGCCCACCTTATCTTCGTCTGTTTGGCGTACAGAACGGCATCTTTGATTTTTGATCGTTGACGCAGATCGTAGCATCGGATCCTACCCCTTACTTGTATGGAAAGGGAAACTCCTAGCATAGTCCTTTCGACTGCGCGTTCGATAACGCTGAATGACCTATCATCCTGCTTACGCAGCGACCAGGTTTCTGACGCATACGTTAGGGCAGGAAGTACCGCTGAGTCGAAAAACTGGGCACGGAATCAGGTGTTCTTTGTTCTCTTCACTACACCCTCGATGCTCTTGAAAGCTCTCCAAGCCGCTCGTTTTCTTCTGCTCAGCTCTGAAGCTAGGTCGTTCATCATATTGATTTCCCGACCTAGATAGACATAACTTGAGTGTTCAGAGATATTCGTCCCGTTGAGCGTGAATTGGACATGCGAAACGAATCCGTTTTTCATAAACATCGTTTTTGTGAGATTTAGCCGAAAACCAATCTTTCCACAGGCTTTATCAAAGTCGTCAACCATACGCTCCGCTTGGCTAGTGTTTGATGTTATGAGGACAATGTCATCAGCAAAGCGAAGGCGGTGTAACTGCCGGCCGTCGATTTTCACTCCCATATTATCCCATTCCAATGTTCGCATGACGTTCTGGAGGGTGGCGATAAATAATTATGACGAGATGGTATCGCCCTGCCTAACTCGTCCATTGACGTCAGTGTTGATATCGCTGTAGAATGGTGATACCTTGGTTGTGACATTTTTGTACAGCTCACGAAGAATCTTTATATAGTGAGTACGGACTACTTGACTATCAAGGGCTTCCAAGACTGCTTCCATCTCAACTGAATCAAAGACTTTCTGTAAATCGATGGAAGTGAGACAGAGCGGTCTCTTGTACTTTCGCTATTCTTCAATGAGCGGTGTTATTCTGTGGTTGTGGTCCATCGTACTAAGTCCTCTTCGAAACCCTGCTTGCTCATATGGTTGTCATTCATCGAGTGTTCTGCCAATCCTGTGTAGGATGACACGAGTGAAAAGTTTGTAGACGACAGACAGCAGATTGGGCCATAGTTGCCGATATCGTGCACGTCACCATTCTTGAACAATAATACGCTCTTACTGGTCTTTTGCTGAGTAGGGACCTTGCATTGAGACAGATAACGTGTAAAGAGCCGAACCAGTGTGTTTGCAAAGACTGGCGGAAGGTTCTTCAGGTGTTCTGGTTTTATTCTGTCCTGACCTGGTGCTATTCGATTTTTCACCGACGAAATGGCATGTAGAATTTCGGAAGGGAGAACCGGTGGCACAAACTATCCATCTTCCTTTATTTCGTATAACGGAAGGTGGACGTGGCTATCGAAGAGATCCGAGTAGTATTTGTGAATGATTTTCTCCATTGCCTTTCTGAACGCTGTAACTGTTCCGTCTGGGCGTTGAAGTGCAATCACCTTGGTCTTGTAATTGGCAAAGGCTTCGGTGGGCTTTGCGAATGCTTTTCCCAGCCTGTGCAGCTTCGACGATTACTGCTGCTTTTCTCTCTTTAAAATCTTTTATCGCCTGTCTGCATTGTTTTGCAAGTTCGGACGTTAGTTCGCGGTTGCTTGCAGCTCGTGCGTTTCCACGCTGGCGTATCACTTCGAGTGTTTCTGGAGACACACGTCTCTTGGTGACTTTCGAACTTTGAGCTTTCATAACGCTAGCGTGAAGATGTTGAATGAGCCGTTCGTATTCTGCGCCGATGTTATCGACAACGGCATCTTTCCAACAGCCGACTAATGAATTGAATAAGTCCCAGTTTATGGTGGTTCTGGGACATCTGTTTTGAATTTAGCGGGTTTTTCCCTTTCCGAGATAAATAGAATCTTGCTCGAAGGAGGCGATGGTCTGATCCCGTGTAGAATTTTGGGACAACAGCGACATCGATTAGGCAAAACCTTCTATTTACTATGATGTGGTCTATTTCGTTATGGTACTCTCCATTGGGAGACTCCCACGTCCAGCGCTGAAGGTGGGACTTCTGGAATTGCGAGTTGCCCTGGGTTGTCTTGGTCACCACGACAAACTCAGATAGCCGCTCATCCTGTTCGTTCCATTCTAATCCCTGGGTTCCAATGTGACGTTCTTCTTGGTCCAATCTAGGCGTTGAAATCTCCAATGATGACCTTGAAGAATGTGTGGTCTTCACTGTAGAACTTCCCCAAGTCCATATAGAACGCTTCGACTTCCTCTTTGCCATAGTTTGATGTCGGCGCGAAAACGACGAAGATTGTCAAAGCCGGAATTGATTCACGTCTTTTTATCGTAAACGTCCGATTCAGGTTGTAAGTTGTTCGAATGAATCGGTGTTCATGGACAAACTTGTGCTGACGAGAACGCTGACGCCGCCGACTCCTCAACTGTCGCATGCTCCGAGGAACAGTTCTTCTCCGGTGTCATAGACGACGTTGAATGGCTGGCGTCGTCTCTTCTGGGCCAGGCCGACGTCGTACTTTGTCCTTCTTGCTTGCGTGAGGAAGTCTTCTATCGAGAACATTATAGGTACAGATGGTCACCATAGTTCTTTGAAATCGAGGCAGCTTCCATTGGTCCTGAGATTTTAGCAACCTCTCCGTACTCGTCCTACACAATGCTACGAATTTGGGGGCTCTTTCGGGGTCAGGGGAATGAGGCCCTTTTTTTTTTACTGTGTTTAGCATTTTTGATACCCACGTATAGCTTGCTAGGCTGTGAACGTGGGAGCTGGGTATATTCACGGGTAGCTTGCCAGGCTCTCCCAAATTGGAAATGGAGCTTATTTGTTAGAGGCGACTCCTAACCGCCTCCCATATACTTCCCAGTCACTTGATGCTGCACTAAAGATGCTAAGAAGCGCAATGAGTTTTTAGCATAGCCACACGGAAATTTCCCCATAACTTTTTTTTGGAGTTTTGAGTGAGACCTTTTTGACTAATTCGATGGAAGGAAGTACGACCTAAAAATTAAAAGACAACGACACAAAACCGGGTTTTCAACTTTTCCCTGTTTTTAAATTGTTGAGCGTACACGAAGTTGATAACAATCTTTATTTCGGCCAAAGTTTCGACGTCTTCTTCTTTATCAGAGCAGATGATACGAGTCTATGGTCACGTCTGTTCTTTGTTCTTTGATGGTCATCACATATACACGAATTTATATTTGAAAGCAGTGAGAATCAAATTAACGACCAATACGATGTTTCAGTTCGAAAGCTCAACTAATAAAAAACGAGTAGACCGACGCGGGATCGAACAAATGATAATGCGTCTATTGCAAAGCTCCTCTAACCACTACGCCACGCGCGTAATGTTGTCTTGCACTGGCGATAGAGAACAGTTATATGGCATAGAAGCAGCTGTGTGCTTATATGCATGAATATTTTACGAGTAGTCAAACCAATACTGCAGAATAAGCGCCTATCCCCTTAATCGAGCCTCCTTCTGAAGGAAGAAATGTGACCGATTTTGGTCTGTTATCCACCACAAGGACATAACGTCCTTCACTAAAAGTTTTTTTCTATTTTGTACGACCCACCTCCACATCTACTGTGCTGATCTCAGCACTCAGGGCTTCCAACTTTTCATGAGAGGCTCCAGCTGCTGCTGCTTCAGGCTTTTCTTTTCATCATGAATGTCGTTGAAGGCTGGTCGAGTCGAATCTCCCGAAGTTCTAAGATAGCCGCGCCAAAGCGTTCCCACGTGGGGGATTACAGAGGTTCATTTTTTCCCGGATAAGTCTGGTACCAATTTCCCGACTCCAGAGGGATGAGAGGCTTGGTGAGCCCGGAGTGTGGTCGGACCAGCGCTTTGCTCGTGATGACCGACACTGCTAGCACTGTAGTATTCGTACATTTTCCCCAAAATGCACCTCCATTCCTCTAGCCCGTAAAACTTAGTCTGCAAAAACAAAAGTATTGCGAGGAAACGATAGAGATGTTATCAGTAGGTATCTAGCGAAATTTTCACTTTAAAAGTTAAAATCAAGGCATATTCTTTTCGCTGGTCGGGAGAAAATTTCTTATCAATTCTTGGCTCCGTTTTAGTAATTCGTGGATTCAGTAATTCATTCAAAATTCATTCTAAAGGAAACCATTCGCAATTTCAAATGTGTTCATGGAGCTGTTGAAATTACAACTTCGAGACCAGGTGAAGTTGTTGGCTTGCAACCAACATTTCGTATTTGACTCTCGTGAAACAGAGAAAAAAATGAAGAAATGGAGACTTCTGAAGGTGGCTATCAGAAATAAGCAGGTAAGGATTTCTGTGCATAAATATAAAAATAATTCGAACCATTTCCTTTGTGAGTTGTCTAACGTTTTATTTAAAAACCAGCTTGTACAATAACTGGGTCTCGTATAGTTGATTCGGTAAGAAGCGTTCCACGAGCTACATAGCTTTTTTAAATGTGTTAGAAATAAAAACTAGTGCAGTAGATGAACTATAAATCCAGTCTATACTCAAGACTTTCTGTGCTTTATACAACTAAATCGTTTAAAAAACAAGAAGGACTGTGTTTGCAAAGCAGCAACGTCATTCGAGCCAGTAGACGCACGCAAAACTTAAAGGAAACAGTCAGATAAAATGGTGGACAACTCATATTCTTCCAAAATATAAAACAAAACTATAAAAAATAGTATCTTTTAGTCAAGATGAGTAGGTGTTTACGATAAGGTAAATGTTTCCAGTTTTGATCAAACTATCGTGATGCTCGTCTCCAGTCTTCCTCCTATCCACCCTGTGCCTTAGTATGGACCGTGCTACTTTTATCGTTCTGCGATGTACCGGATGGAATCCATACACAGTAGGACCCATTGAGATTAGGATATTTACAAAGAATTTGAAATACCGTGTGTATTAGAGCTCAGAGAAGTCTTTCTATATATGCAGGCTTAACTTACGTTCGATTCCGTGTTCCGAACTCCAAAAGCTTTCTAGGTTCCCTAGTCGTAAACTGGTAAGTATTCTCCGAAAGGATAATAGTGCTAACCCGATAGATCGAAAGACCATAGGATAGGAACTCTTCGTATAGTTCAGATATATATTCAATCACCTCTTAGAAGCCATGAATTCAGTCAAATTCACAGCACATCCCTCGTAGATTAGTTAACACCGTACATTCGTATATTTCGTCCTTCATCTTTATTTAAAAATTGTTGTGCGGTCATTCAGGAAGATGCTGTATTTATTCCATCCGTCACAGAAACTTGAGAACACGAAGGCCTTTAGAAGTGAAATGTTGTAATTCTAGAGAAGAAGAAGATTGCAACGTTTTGGCTTTTATCCGTCGTGGTAAACGAAGAAATTCCGAATGATTAGGAACAGTTATTAACATTTTCTAAGAACGAACGTCGAAGAAAAACAAAGATTCAATACCTGAAATATAAGACGTGAAACACTATTGGTCTTTCCTTACACCACATAATACCATGCAAATAAAAATGTCATGCGTTCAACAAAATATTTTATTGTCTTTCTCACAGCCAGTTTTCGACCCTAACGGTGCCATCCCTCCCAACGATTTACCGCCTCATCGTGGCTGGGAAGTGTTCGTGGGTGTCGGCCTGCGATGTACAGCGGAGGAACTCGTCTACCCGGCAGGGCCTCCCAAGTTGGGAAGGAGTCCGGCATTTCCGTCAGGAAGCTTAGCTAAGAGTAAACCAACTTAGTATCAAAGTCGCATGGTGGTGAATCTCCTTCTGATCCACAAGGGGTGCGACAGTCTGTCGTGGTGACGACCTGGGGCAGACTTTGGCCAGGCTGCCCTCGGAATTCCAGGGAACCACAATGGCTTAACTAGCAAATCTCCGAAAAGTGGTGATTGTGCTAGGACCCGCACAACTAGTGAGGGCGAACAGTTCAAGTATCAAATATCAAGTAACGGTGTTATCAGTAATCACCCACCAACGGGAATGATCTGGAGAGCACAAGCCGGCATCGGATCCAGTTAAGGAGGGCTTATAGTAGAAATCACAATGTATAACTTTTATCTGCTTCCTATTATTTTTTCACGGCAGGATTTGATGTGAAATACAATTACTATGATGCTGAGATATTTGCAAAACTTGGACCCACACCAGATGAACGTACAGATCTGTGAAAATAAACGAACAAGTTCTCGATTTACGCGAAAAGAAAAAAGATTAGAAATTTTCAGGTGAATCACCATTTGAAACTTATAACTGTAAAAATCAGCTTACGTGAACAAGCGATCCTTGAATGACGACCATCAAACGATATCACGAGTTCGTTTTTTTCACTAAGCGCGAACTAAGTTCACCTGCTTTATTTCAGCTACAGAACGGAGTTTTAGGACGCCTGTTGAGGTCCTCAATTGAATTTTCCACCGAAAGATGAAAGCAGTTACCAACGAGGGTTGAATATGAGATTTAGGACATAATGGATAAACTGATGAATTCGATGTTTTTCTTCAATAAGCAGACACGAGGCTGTTATTATAGAATTTATTAGGATACAATAGCTGACGTTTCGGCGGTTTCGCCTTCTTCAGAGGCGTTTATTTGCTATAAGTACTTAAGTTGGTTGGTGAATAGCAGCCGTGCAGGGTAATACATGCGCGATAACTGCGTCTGTGTCAGGATTAGCCTGAGGTATGGCGCCAGGTCACGCGTGATGACAAGACACTCCTCCTTGCGGTTCATTTTTGGATTTTTCGAATTGATCCAAAATGCTTCTAGAGTTTTACGCGCTGATGTTTTCGATTCGTGCGTGAAGGTAGTGACTCCTACTTCAAAATCTTCTCCGTTGTGTTCCTGCATCTTATGCGCGCCTAGTGGAGTGCTCGGTTTTAATTTAGATTTACCGACTAAGTGTTCTTTTATGCGGACACAAAGCGGTCTACCCGTTTCGCCAATGTATTCGTCCCCGTACGCTTTACAAGATCAGATAGACTGTACCCGAACTCATGCAGTCACCGTCTCTACCGTTAGGGCAAATTATGCGGCTTTTCATTATACATAGGCGGTCATATAAGCGGTTGCGAACTAGCTGGCGTCTTAGAGTGTCAGTCTATCTGAGACACAGTCCTCGCCCGTGTATTACTGTGCGGCTGCTATCCACCAACTAACTTAGATACTTACAACAATAAAACAGCTCTGGAGAAGGCGAAACCGCCAAGACGTTAGCTGTTGTATCCAACAAATCCTATAATAGCAACCTCGTGTCTGCTTATTGAAGAAAAACATCGAATTATCAATCAATGCCGAGGTTAAAAGAAAGTCGGTCATGGGAATAACTAATGAATTGTTGGTGAAACTTAGGAATGAAGAATATTTTACAATTATTATTCATGAAACATTGTGCCAATGATAGCACATCTTTCATCCAAGTTTTCTCTCTCTCCCTCTATCTGTGTCTGTCTTGCATCCGCCATCCATTAGCTTCTTCGGACTTCAGGTTTCGGTTCGACGCCTTTTCAGGACTTCGTATTCTTTACGGATTTCACGGAATATTGATAGAATAGATTCGTCCTGGAATGCCGGATACCATAGTAGAGCGCTTCTAGGTCCTCACCAAGCTCAGCTCACAGGGTTTATAGATGGGAAGGCAATTTTTCGTGAAAAACGTAGAGCCATTCTAACCTACTTGGATAAATAGTAGAGTAAACAGTTGAAAAGAATGATAGACATGGGAACATGATTGTACCATACTGTACCTTTAGCCACTGCTCCTCCTACACACACAGTAAATAATAATTACACTGAATCAATAAGAATTAAGCATCGCAACAAAAGTGCACGTTAATAATCAGCTGTGATAAATAAGCTGGAATGAAATTCAGATCAATCAGAGAGGAGGAACAAAGTTTTGATAAAATTCAACGAATATATCGCACATTTTATTAATATGTTTATTATAGTCACTGCCTTCTCACTAACACATGTGGACAGCAAAACAGACACTTCCAGCGCGGCAGTTCCTTCTTCTTTGTTTTGAATCGATCACAGAATCTATAACAATGAAGTTGCCTCATCCACCTTCACGAGAGCTTCTGTGGCATTCTAAATATTAGCTTATCTTGGTTGACAGTCCATGTACGAAGAACCGTTGTCTTTTGTGCAACCGAAGAATTTTAGAATTTTTGCACACATCGTCGATGAATTAGAAAATCGACAAAATATGACAGTATGAAGAAACACAAAACTCTGAGGAAATGAAAACCTTGAGTTTTCAGCGTCCATTGCTTCCCACTCCTACAACTCTGGATAGGAGGGATTTCTTGCTGAATTAGTCCTTTACTTCCATGTGAGCATCTCTTCACTGCGCAAACATACAATAGACCTTTATCATTATAGTGGACCACTAAAAAATTCATCTAACGCTTGCACTGTTGTCACTTAAAAGCCTTCGAACATGATAAGCCTGAAAACTGCTTTTTCTCAAGAATAAATTTCCATCTCATTGCAGGCGCCGACTTATTTCGTTCAGTGAAGGTAGCTACGGTTGCGGAGTGTTGCAGCATCATTGACATAGAACGTTTACAGTTTCATTTCACACGATTCTCCCTTAATCTAGAGTCGGCACATCCTCTATAACATGGCTGATCCATTTACAGCTGGCTAGTTTAATACTAAGAGCTTTTCTTATCCGTAGATTACTGAACACTTCATGGAACAATTTGCTGATTTTTCTTCCTTCTCATTCAGTGATCTTTAAAAAATTGGAAGCAAGGCAATCACAACAAAAATTGGTGTAAACCACATTTGTAAGATGAGAGAGAATGACCTAAAAAACCCAACTACGACAAATATCGTGGCCGAACCAAGGAAATCTGATTAACCAAGGAATCCATTACACTGCTTCCCTGCAATCTTTTCCACTTGTACGAGATGATATACTGAACACGATATGAGATTTAATGTGGTCGGACCAAAGAGCGATTCAGCTGCCTGAAATATTCGAAATATTCTCGACCTTCAGATATGAATATATACCAAAAAATGGCGCGTGTAGCGCAGTGGTCGGAGGCACCAAGCAATATAGCGGGATCGATCCCCGAGTCCCATGCTCACCAAGCTCTCCATCCCGCCGACAAATTGGTTCCGGATTTGTTTGAGAAGATAGCAGCACTATGTCGATATATCTATAGGTCACTGCGAGTCATTGCAAAAGCTAGATTTCCATTCAGTCACCTCTAACGATGCTTAGTGAACTCGAATGCAGAGCCCATCTCTCAGAGATAGATCAAGGCCGAGGGCTTTATTCTTTTTTCATTTATGAGGGATATCTGTGGACGACATTGAAATGAGTCTAGTACTGTATACGAATAAGGCACAACGATAAGTAAATATCCCAGACATCACAGACATCACTGAGGTGTAGAAGCTATTATCACTGGGTTTGAAAAGCACGAAAAATCGCTAGTCCTACCACTTTTGACGCTCTATGACAGCTGATTATTCTCGTATTTGCATTGTTGGACTAATTTTACCTAATCGCTTTGCTTATTAAGTGACTCATATCTAATCCCATACTACCACTGCAAATCGACTTAAAGACGGCGCTTGGCAAGGGTACTCAACGCCTAAAGAAAATTTTGTCTCTGAAAGTGCTCAGAACGAAATTGATACGCAACAAAGATTTCTAAACAGTCGGAGTAACGGCGGTGTCCACTAACTCTACCATGGTCTATCTTTCAACTTGTACAAAGCTCACCAAGATATTGTGAAGGAATTTACCGACGTCCATATAGTTGCCGTAGCGCTTTAGCGGATTGCTCTCAGGAATGTTCGTCACCGTAAACTCGACGGTCGTGCATATTTCTTCCAGTTTCACTCTGTGGTTGAATGTGGCGTGATGTATGTCTGCCGTTCCTTCTGTACGCAGATTATCTAGTGAAACTGCTTCGCGTACCCACGAGTGTTTTTCATTATCATTGTTTTCCTCTTCTTCGACGATATTTAAGAAAAAATTTGGAGTGCCAATTTCATGTTATGTGGGTGTTATGATAAAATTTTCACCAATTTTAGCTTGAAGACAAACTGATTTCCGTTCAAGTTCAAATTGCTTCCACGAAATTTCAGCGCCACAACAGCAAACTTCAATAGCACAAGGAATCCGATCCGAGCAGTAAAACGACCAGAAACATTTTCATTCATGTTTCTTCAGTCGGTTGTTCATGCAAGAAATACTGTCAGTATGTTTTTTTTGTTCGGAGAGTTCACAAAATAACATTTTCCTTACGTCTCAATATATACACATTATTGAAATATAGCGTTTTTATTTCATCGTCCTAACCTTTACTTATTGCCCCTCCTTTCCTTCATGGAAGGGTACGATGTGGAGAACAACCACAGGGATGCTGAGATTTGAGCAAAACTCGGAACCTCAGAGGTAGTCGTAACAGTAAAGGATGATTAGTTGTAATTGACAGTTGCAGATAACCGATATCTCTGTAGATTCAAAAAGAAAGAGAACGACATCGAGAAGCAAAACTACCAACCAAACGTTCTACCAGTTGGTATTTTTCTCTGAGTCAAATCCTGGTCTCCATATTCAGCCACAAAATTTTCATGATTCTCTAAAAGTCCTTATCGCAAGAAGCTTTTCCCAGGCAAATATGGTTGTCGTCTGGGAAAGATTGGGGGGTTGGTGGGGTTGGGACGGGTCGAAGCAAGTCCTGAACTCGTTACTGGACAGCATCGCTCACCACAGCTCTTCCTGCGCTCACATATTGTAATTTTCCTACAAAAAATTTCCATGAAAACATGGTTATTGTAAACCTCGAGGAGTAAATCAATCAAATACATAGACGATGTTTCTCACATGCATAAATTAACTATGGGAATTAAGCGTACAGTTAAACAAAGAAACAAGTGAAACTAAAGAAAAGCGATGATGGAAGGTTTCCGAAAAAGGTGATCGATCTTAAAACACATTTCCAATGTATCATCGATTTTCAGTGAAAGCATTGTTAGATCTTTGCAGTGACTGTAACTCCACGAACCTCTGCATTGATTGCTCGAAACGAAGACGCAATGGTCGAGTTGGAGAGTGCAGACCGACAGCGCATTTTCCCAAGCTAGGCCATGGGAAAAGTGGGCGGATCGGCGCCCCAGGCACTGACAGTTATCGGTATATTTGAAATCTCCGAAACGAGGACAGATCCAGTCCTTCAGTCTATTTCTGCTACATCTACTCGGCTGTCGTCACGCAACCATGTACGGAAAGACGCACTTGGAGTTGAAGCCGGAACGTCTGAGGCGTAATGTGGGGATGTGTGGCGGTAAGGTGGGTTGTGTATTTTCGTTAAGAATCGTTCTCGTAAAAGTTGATGATTATCAAAATGGTGAAGGACCACAGATTTTCTGTGGCGCATGGTATTTTTTGCACTGACTGGTTGGGTTTCATATTTATGTGGACAAGGTTTCTGAAGGTTACGGATGCGTTTAATATTCTACCTTAAACCGTGATTTACAAAATGGTTGTTGCTCGTTTTAAAGTAGAAAGTGAAGTTTGGACAACTCGCGTTTGGACTGGTTCTGACTGATAAGATGAGGACTGATTTATCTGGCTATGCTTGTGGCATCTTGTAATATCTCTTCGTTTAGGATGGAAAAATACTGCTCGAGTTGAAACGAGTCGCGAGTGATGAGAATGACAAAGACAGGAATCCCACTTTTACGGATTGCTGGGTTAGTTTTGTCCTACTTTTTCTCCTCGTTGAAAATGTAGTCTGCCCTAAAGAGAATCTGGAGTGAGTGTGTACCACTAAGTTACACCTGTTTGAGAAAAAGAAGAGAACAAATTTCGCGAATCCTTCACTTTATAAACGCAGGGGTAAGATGAGCTGTTGGGTGGGCTTGTGATAATAGTAATGGGTTCTGTGTTTATTCTTGAGTACTCTATCATCGCATGTATAGGGAAAGTCGTAGGAACCCAACACAAGTCTTGTTTGACTAGCAGTTTGCTGGTCCAGGATGATTTTCCTCCTCTCCAACGCCGTAAGAGAGTTTCCATGGACTGTCACCGCTTGCCAGCTAGTGGCCACTTTGATGCGGTGATTGCAAGGATTCGTGGCGATCAACTACTCTTAGTGATGTTCTCGTAGAAGAATAAAACTCAATTTAGGAAATCCTCACGGGGAATAGGTACGTGCTCTGCACCGAAGTTCGACATCTATCACAACCCCATCCAAACAAGGTCTTAGCCCACCATCACTTTTTAGTGCGTTCAAGCGGTTCCGAGTAGGCATTTGTGAAGAAAGTCGTGCTGAAAAATTTGCATTCATCGACATGCTTTCTTCTTTGATACAATTCTTCCGTACCAGTGTAGGTTGTGGAGAGTTGAATTGCAAGGTGCGTATCAGCTATGGGACACTTCTGAACGTTTACAAGTAGTTTCGTGCGAAAACTAACAGACTTCAAGCAAGAAAGCTTCGGACTACAATATGAGCACTGTTTTACGTGCACGCCAAGATAAGGAGTTGCAGCAGTATGGCGGAAAACAGGTAGGAGGTGGTTGATATGGGTATGATAGTGGATCGAACAACAATACTTCGCCTCCATGTGAGAACGAGGTCGCTTCTGAGTTTCCAAAGTTCATCATAGCCGCTATTTTTCTTAGCTTCTTATTACTGGATTTATATTCTAGCGCTTCAATTCAACAGCGTCGGGCTTCCACAGTAACTCTGAGCATTTGTTCATCGAGACGGATCGTAGCATTGATTTCGAAGTGAGTGAAAGTGAATAATTTTAAATTGCTCCGATTTTTATCTGTGTATCACCTTGGCTCTCCGACTGTGTTTCCGCTCAAGGGAAATTCGATATCTTGTTCAGGGCTTTGGTTCTTAGGTATTTATGTCTTACTCTTTATGGTAAGCCTGATCGTGGAAAGTCAACGGCGGTTGTTTTTACATTGGTGAATGAACACTTGGTGATATAAATATTGTATAAACTTGAAATAAAAGAGGAACCTGTATTCTAAGAAGCAATTATTGATCGTCGTAAGATTCGATGGAGAAATGGGCTTGTAAAAACGTGTTGATATATTTCTGCACTTTTTAAATGCAGAATCCTGCATTTTATGGAAATAGTTAACAATTATAATGTGGTGCTTTTTTATCCACTTATTGGCTATTTTTTTAACGCAGAGTAAAAAAAGATAAGGCTCTCAGCATTTATCAATCCTTGAGGGATGTGCAATGCATTCGAGTTCATTAAGCATCGTTTGGAGGTGATTGAATGCATATCTGGCTTTTGAAATGAGTCACGGTGGCCTACCGATGCATCCATTGATTCCATGGATATGTTACAGGGCCCCTCCGACCGCTGTACCACATGCACTCTTTACGGCAGTGTATTATGTGAAATATAACCATAATCATGCTCAGATATTTGCGAAAGGTTGGTGTCTAAAGTGGGGGACGAACGCGAAACTACCCTTTCCGCGGGCTAACGCGCTCACCACCACACCATGCGAGTTATTCGTTTCGCGTTTCACTCATCGCTGTTATTGACTTATTTGTGTTATCAGAAATCAACCGTTAACAACAGTGATGTGGGGAGCACATATCGGCGTTGATCCCAGCTAAACTGCGCTGCGGTATAAATCACAGTGTAGCACTTTTTTATTTACTACCTGTTCTTTTTTTACTTTTTTTAACGGCAAGATATTACGCAGCTATAGTTAACTGTTTTGGAGCGCAGTGTGGAAATAAGGAAATTTCCACTTCTTACGTGGCACTTAGATTTCCCGTCTTCAACGGTTGTGTATGCCACGGCACAATTTCCATTCTTCGGAGGTTTGCTGTTTTAGCTATTGTGGTTCTCTGGAGTCCCGATGTGAGCCTATCCAAAGCACTCCCTCAGGTCGTCACCACCCAAAACCGCGACAGCCGATGTGGATCAGAGGGAGAGATTTGCCACCATGCTAGTAGTTTCATAGAAGGCTGATGGTTATTACTGCCATTGGTTTACTCTATCTGGGTTTTCGAATGGAAACATCGGACTCCTGAGGTTGGGAGGTCGTGCAGGTTGAATGCAGCTCAGCCTGACACCTGGGTAGACCTCATAACCACGATGAGGCGGTAAACCGTTGAGAGGAATTGGCAAACATCACCTGTCACCCTTCGTATTACCTGTTCTTCCGTCGATCGTCGAGTGACTCGAGCGGGTGCCAATAAATCTTCTATTTTTCGCTGTCGCATGCAAGAGTAGCCCAATGGGTTCTGCTCGTTTTAGGGAGTCGTTAAGCATCATACATTTTCTTACAAGGTTTTCGTGAAAAACCCCGACCACCGGGTCAGTAGTCTTACTGCAGAACGTTTGAGATCTTGAAAAATTCGGTCGCCAACGGCTGCTGACCATCGGTTTGCGTTCATACGCGTCACGTGTCCTGCCCACCTTACCCTCGATTGTTTAGCGAACAGAACCCCATCTTTGATTTTTGATCACTGTAAGTCGGAGCTTCGGATCCCTTCCCTTACTTGTGTGACACGGAACACACTCAGCATTGTTGTTCCGACTTCGCGTTCAATAAGGATGAGTGATCGTTCATCCTGCGTACATATCGACCAGGTTTCTGACGCAAACGGTAGGCCAGGAAGTAACGTTGAGTCAGAAAGGTGGGCACGGAGTCTGGTGTTCTCTGTTTCTGTTTACTCTTTATTTTTTGCCTTCTAATATTGTTATGGCAGAGTATTAAGTCAAATACAACCACAAGATTGCTAAGATATTTGCAAAACTCAGGACCGCAGGTGTCTGCGGTGGGGAACGAACGCGTTATTGTCCTTTCCGGGGAGCAACACGTTCACCACCTCACTATGCGGGTCCTTCGTTTCGCCTGTCTCTGCCATAGAAGTAATAGAAGGCAGAAAATAAAAAGTAAACAATGTGAATTAATTCAACTACAGCCGCAGCTTAACGGGGTTCAATGCCGATGTGGGCTCCCAGATCAATCCCGTTGACAGGTGATTGCTGACGGCGCAGATCGATAGAACTAGCTGAGAGGCAGGTAAAACGAAGGATCCGCATGGTGGTGAACCGCGAACTCCCCGGAAAGGACAATAACGCGTTCGTTCCCTACCGCAGACACCTACGGTCCGGAGTTTTGCAAATATCTCAGCAATGTTGTAGTTGTTCTTTTGTTCACTACATCCTCGATGCTCTTGAAAGCTCCTCAAGCCGCTCGTTTCCTTTGGCTCAGCTTTGGAGCTAAGTTGTTCAGCATGTTGTTTTTCCGAACTAGATAGACATAACTGAACCATTCAGAGATATTCGTTTCGTCGAGCCTGAATTCGTCATATATATAATTAATCTGTTCCTCATGAACATCGTTTTTATGAGATTTATCGAAGAGCAATCTTTCCACAGGCTTTATTAAAGTCGGCAAACGTTCGTTCCGCTTCTAATGCTTGGTGTTACATGAACGAATTCATCAGCAAAGCGAAGGTGATCTAATTGCCTGCCATCGATTTTCACTCCTGTATTGTTCCATTCCAGTGTTCGCATGACGTTCTCGAGGTAGCGATAAATAATTTTCGCGAGATGCTAACGCCTTGTCTAAACCCTCTTTTGAAGTCGATGTTAATATCGTTGTACAATGGTGATATCCTGGTTGTGAAATTTCTGTAAAGCTCAGGAAGAATCTTTGTTTACTCGGTGGGGACTCACTGATTGTGGAGAGCATTCATGACTGCTTCTACCTCAACTAAGTCAAAACTCTTCTGTAGATTGATGAAAATGGGACAACTTTTCTCTTCTACTCTCACGCTATATCAGTGAGTCTTGTTACCGTGTGGATGTGGTACATCGTACAAAATTCTTTTTGAAACCCTGATTGCACACGTGACTGCCTTCTGTCCAGTGCTCTGTCAATCCTGTTTAGGACGACTAAAGTGAAAAGTTTGTAGACGAGAGACATCAAGCAGATTGGGCGATGGTTTCCGATGTCGTGGGAGTCATCTTTCTTGAATAAAACGGTTTTAACTTATTATTTACTGCCTAGTCTTTTTAACGGCAGGGTATATTGCGAAATATAACTTCAATGATGCTGAGATATTTGCGAAGCTCCGGACCGCAGGTGTCTGCGGTGGGAAAGGAACGTCCTTTACGGGGAGTAACGCGTTCACCACCATACCTTGCGGGTCCATCGTTTCGCCTGCCTTTCAGCTAGTTCTATCGATCTCTGCCATCAGCAATCACCCGTCAGCGGGATTGATCTGGGGAGCCCAAATCGACAGCGAACCAAGTTAAGCTGAGGAGAATAGCGCGTTCGTTTCCCACCGCAGACACTTGCGGTCCTGTGCTCTGCAAACATCTCAGTATCACTAAAAGCACGGTCTTTTGTATTCTGATAGGTAAAGTGTGAAGAGCCGATCAAGTATCTCTACGAGAACTGACAAAAGGTTCTTCAGGTGATCACATTTAATTCTGCCCCAATTGATTTTCCACCGACGAAACAAAATGTCGGATTTCGATAGAGAGGACCGCTTATGCGATATATCCATCCTGTTTTGTTTCACGTTAGCAAATGAGGACATGGCAATTGAAGAGATCTGAGTAGAAATCATGAATGATTTTCTCCATTGCCTTTCTAAACGCTGTAACTGTTACATCTGGGCGTGGGAGTGTAATCATCTTGGTCTTGTAATTGGCGAAGTTTTGGTGAGCCATATGAAACGTTTCCTAGTCTCTACATCCTTGACCATAATTACAATGTTTAACGTTTTGTTTTCTGCCTTCTATAATTTTCATGGCAGGTTACTAAGCGAAATACAACCACAACGTTGCTGAGACATTTGCAAAACTCCGGACCGCAGGTGTCTGCGGTGGGAGAACGACCGCGCTATTGTCCTTTTCGGGGAGTAACGCGTTCACCACTACACCATGCGGGTCCTTCGTTTCGCCTGTCTCTCAGCTATTTCTATCGATCTTTTTGCCACAGCAATCACCTGTCAGCGGGTTGATCTGGGGAGCGCAAATCGGCTTTGACCATAATTGTTGCTCTTTTTTCTTCAAGAAGTTCATTTATCCCCTGTCTGAGTTGTTTTATGAGTTCGGACGTATGTTGACGGTTGCCTGTAACTCGTGCGGTTCCACGTTTGCGTATTAGCTCTTGTATTTTAAGAGGCAGACGGCTCTAGTTTCACAGCACTAACGTGAAGATGTTGAATGAGCCGACCGTATTCCTCTTCAATGTTGTCGAGGACGACATCTTTCCAACAGTCCGCTATCGAATCGAATAAGTCCCTGTTTATAGTGGTTTTGGGACTTCGTTTTTTGAATTAAGCAGCTTTTTCTCCTATCCGCGAGAAATGAAATCTTCCACGGAAGAGGCGACTGTCTGATTCCTTGTAAAATTTTGGGAACATTGGGTTGGGCGAAACTTTCCATTTTCTGTGATGTGGTCTATTGACAAAAACTTCTGTGGAAACCTCTCAACGATTTACCGGCTCATCGTGGCTAGGAGGTGTTCCTTGGGGCTGCGATATACGGCGGAGATTCATCCCAGCAGCAGGTTCCCCCAAGCTAAGAATGGTTCCGGCTTCTAAATTACGAAGCTTATGTAAGAGTAAAGCAATACCAGAATTCACCACCGCCCTGGTATCAAACTCGTCGCATGGTGGCAAATCTTCCCCATATCCACAAGGATGGCGACTGCCTGTGGTGGTGCCTGTGGACCTAGGGCAGACTTTGACTAAGCTGACCACGGGAGTCCAGGGAACAATAGTGGGATAAACCAGCAAAATT